CATGTGCCCTTTAGATCCTTGTGATTTAAAGCTCTGAGTGGTACTGCAACTGCTATGGATAGGCGTGTCGCTTACCATCAAGTGCACGGCTTGTTCGTCCCGTTACTTAGTTATTACTAAAAAAAGAAGAAACAAAATAGTAGCAGTAGAACTCCTTGTGAAAGAGTTCGTCCAGAGATACTTCTCCTTATCACCTTACCTATTTCGGTCGTCAAGCATTAATGTGAGCATTACTGCGTTCCGGTTTTAAAGGGTGAGGGTGCTGGTGAAATTATAGGCACATGGAACTTCTCAACATTAATGTCTCTGGGCGCAGTGGCAGAGTCCCTCAGATATTTGCGATTTAAAGCTCTGAGCGGTACTTAATACAACTGTTATGGACAGGCGTGTCACTTACTGTCTACTATAGGGTTTTTCAACAAGAACTTTGTTTTGTAAATCAAAATAAAACAATAATTTAGATAACGATGATATTCAAATTTTTATTGATTAAAAAAAGTATGGTTAGGCAATTATGAATGAAAAATGATATCTGATATATGTCCACCACGACCACAGTTACAGATATCCATTCTTTCATAAAAGTTTTTAATCACTCTTTGTCAAAGGTTTAGTCTATTTTGTTAATAACTTCACAAATTTTGAGTTTTAAGGCTTCACACAGCCACCGAAACAATGAATTTATCGCAAACTAAATTCCCCGATTGCATAATTTTACGAAATTCAGGCGTGCTGGCTGATTTTTTGTAGGGTTATGTTAAAGACACAGTCTATACGAAGCCAATCGAATCGATTGCAGTCTTAAAACTCAAAATTCGTGAAGTAACTAACGAAATAGACCCACCATTTTGTCAAAAAGTGATTAAAAACTTTGATGAAAGAATCGATATGTGTAACTGTGGTCGTGGTGGACATTTTTAACACAATAAAAATTTGAATTATTGTCATCTAAATTTATTGTTTTTTTTGTTGAAAAACCCTTTACATAGGCGTACGACTTGTTCGTCTGATGTCATAAAAAATAATATAGTAGAGTTCTATTTTTTTAGTATTTTTCGATATTACAGAATATTACTCACAATTTGAGTTTGTCGAGATACGTAGTCGTGTTGTAAGGTGCAGTCTATTCACATTATAATAATTCGTCAATTATTTAAATTGCCGAGATAGTGAGGTCAAATGACATGTTTTATAACAGCATTGTTTTAAGATTGTAAAATGATGTTTCTGTAGGTAGGTACCTACACAAAATTGCAACACGTAGGCTAGAAAGATTATCGCATGTATTTTTGTTGTTGCCCATCATTACGGAAATAAAATAAGATGTATCTCAGTTCAACATTCATTAAGCGAGCAAAACATTCTTAACATTTAATGTGTTTTGACTGTACTGTGGGAGCGTAGCCGTGGTTATAGCGTAGAGGAGGAATATAATCGTAATTAAAGATTTAGGTTCAAATCACACAGTCGCAGAGTCGACTCGTCGCGTCGGCGTCGTGTCCTGTTTTTCAACTACAACGCCTGAGACGCTTCACTCCATATTTGCATAACACAAAGAACCATGGCAAAATCATAGTTAAAAGAATTCGTTAGCGTCTTCAAATGTCTTAATTACAAGTTTGAATAAAATAAATTCATTCGGTTTTTAAATTATAATAGCGGCCTATCTAAGTCTGGAAATAAAATCATATTTAAAACAAACTCTAATGACTAATTAGTATGTTCTTAGTTTTAACGTTGAGCGACATCTAGCCACCAAAGAAGGAATTTCAGTACCAACGTATAGATCTGGTCCACATTTAGTTCACGTAACACCAAACGTACTGATTCGAACGAATTGTAATAAACTAATAAAACATTAACTACTTCATTACAAAAAATGAAATCGATAATTTCTTCTCCAAAATGCCACGTGAGAAAATGGTAAAACTGACAAAAAGTTCCCAAAATCAGGGATAGATGGCACGTTTCACAAAAAAAATATTTTTCCGAGTTACTAGTGCAATCGTCTGTATGTTATTAATTAACTCAGTTTTTTTGTTATGGCTTAACTTCACGCCTTTTGACCATACTAGTATACAAAATAATTTCCTCAGAACTTTCGTCATGTCAGAAACCCGCGGCACCATTTAGCTTCTATTGCCTCTGTTTAAGGCTTCTGTGGTTCATTTTGATATAATAATACACCGAATATATTTTATTCAATCACGTAACACATAACCCCCAAAACTTTAAGCCGGAATATCTTTAATTTCTGACTTTTCAGAATAGTAAACCCAACACAAAATTTGTTCAGGAATTTCAACTCCATATTTTTACATATGTTTCATAAACAGACGCATACAAATTATGTCAACAAAAATTTGTATGGGAGTTTGCCATTGTCCTTTGTGCTATAGACGAAAAACATGACGCGTCGCGACGCTTCGACTCTGCGCCAGTGTGAATTGAGCCTTACTGCGAGCGTTCGAATTGTCCAGAACTCCCCGCGATCTTGATTTGACAACAACCTTCCATTTTTTACACAGTTCTAAATATAGAATAGTATCATCTAAACAGCCTACACACACACACAGTCTAAAACTTAAAAACTGGAAAGTAAATAGGATTAAATAATATGAATAAAATTGGGTCAACGCGGCAAGGTGCCCAAGATGCTGACAGCGTTCCCCCTTTGTATGGCTACGCTAATGCTAATTAAAATTATAAACAGTATTCTCTTTTAAATACCTTAGGCCGTTGTCAGTTTTGTTTACAATTATTTTAAATATACAATATATTCTAGGACCGTACAGTATTTGAATTACTTGTAACTGAATGCGTATTTTAGTCACTACGTAAAAATGTATTTCGTAATTGATATTTCAAATATCTGACAGTAATATTAGAGTACCTTCGTGGTGTCCAGTTAGAGGTAAAAATTATATTATTGTAAATTTGTTTTATTTGACATCACAATAACCCATGTCGTATTTAATTTTTTCAATATATACGTACGTGTATTTTAAATACATACATGTATTTTGATTTTGTTAAAAATATAGCACGTATTTTGTTGAGTTCTACAAATATCCAAATTATACTGCACGATATTGAAGTGAGATCCAAAAGAATGGACAATTTAGTAATTAAACTTTTAAATAATAATTTTTAACAAATAAAACCAAAAAAGTAGTTTTTATTTCATTTTATAAAGTCGATTCAACATGTACGAGATTTCTTTGACTAATCATCGCTGGCTTTTCCTGTCAATCTAGAACATAAAAGTATGTGGACAGTACAGAGGTGTTTTAGTTCCAAATTGAATATTATATTTTGTTGTGTTACTTAGGTATTCCAACGAAATGGTCTCATTTGTACCCTCCCGTTGACAACACCTATATGTACCTATATTCACGTGAAAAGGACACCACTTTGAGAGTCCAAAAAAATTACGATTTTTTAGATATAATAATAATAGATAGATTTTATTATAGATGGAATTTTTTATAGTTAGACTTTATTTTAGATAGAATGTTTTAGTAGCGTGGAGCTCCTTGTGAAAGAGTTCGACTTGTCAACTTATATCTCAGGTTGGCGGGCGCAGTGGCAGGGCCGCTCAGATCTTTGGGATTTAAAGCTCTGAGTGGCACTGCAACTGTTATGTCTCGTCACTTGATATTACAAAAAGAAACTTCTTTTTAGGTTGAAGAATTCATAGCAAGTGTAAACCAAAGTTCTGTGTCAGCAAATGTAGACAACGCAGAAGCCCAATTGGACGCTCTGGTACAGGTGTTGACTTGTGGAGAGAAGATCGGGTGGGCGGAGCATAGCAGGAAGATTGTGCTCATATTGACAGACGGAGTTTTGCACTGGGCTGGAGACGGGAGGCTTGGTAAGGTGATCTTTAGGCTCAATTTACATTGACACAGAACGACTTGGAAGCGAATTTTCGTAACCATAGAAAATGAACCTAGTGTCAATTATATAACGTACAAATTTGATACGAGCCAAATTTCCGCTAATTTTATTGAAACTACTCTTCATTGTAATTCCAAAGAGACTCCACTGGGATCATATTGCAATTAATTAATAATTTAACTGCCTCCTTGGCAACTCTAACTGCCCCAGGTTCGATTCCCGGGCCGGGAGAAATATTTGTATGGCCTACATTTATTTCCCTCGTGAGTTCGGGTGCAATTTGTGGTGGTCTACCTCTGTGTGTGTCCATGGCACCCGCGATACAGGGTATCCCTAGAGCGGGGCTAAAAAAAAATAAAAAATAAAAATTGTTGTTTGAAAAACAAACTGTATGTTGTGATTAGCATCCGAAAATAGTTTTTTTTTATTATTATTACATTTTTCAATTTACAATTTACAAAACAAAAACAATGTGCATAAACCACATTGTACACAATTTAAAAAATTGAAAACATATTGATATTATAGTAGGTGGCATAACTATACATATCTCCGTGGCAAATATCACAGGCAACGCGCCAAAAGCATTTTAGAAAAAGCAGACACACACACATACATTACGAATTAATGGTTAGGCGCAAACCAGCACCACTAGCCCAACAAACAATGTAATGCTACTCATTGACAGTGACGAACGCTTTGAAGTCACTAAGCATTGGCCCCGTACATAGAATATTCGACACAAAATTCGGTATAAACGAGTAATAAATACACAAACAACTTATATACTGGGTGGTAAGATTTTTCTTTTGTTACTGTTAGGAGTGAATTTATTTTAATTATAAGTTTTTTTATAATGATATATGTGGGTGTATTTCTAAATATAGTGAGGTTAGGTTAAATGGTGCGTACATAACCTAACCTCCGGTTAAAAACACCCACCTCAAACGTCATTCATCCCCTAGTTTACCACTCTTAGAGGTGGAATATTTTCTTCAAATTTAAATGGGACCACTTCTGAGGTATCCTCTTTCCAACAAAAAAAGAATCATCAATATCGGTTCACAAATGGCGGAGTTAACAGGCGAATTGAGAACCTCCTTCTTTTTTTGAAGTCGGTTAATAAAAATACAATAAAAATTATGTGACCATTTTAAATTCTTTCTATATTCCTATGTTCTGTTATATAAGGTAAACCTAGAAGATAACTTTTGTGTACAAATTTGATATTTCTATCATTGATCTTATTCTTTAACTTAATTGGTTTCATTTCCTATTTTATAGTGATGATACATAACATAATTCAGAAAAAGTAGCTGTAGGTAGCAAATTTTCATTATATTTTCAGGTGGCGCAACAATGAAAAACGACGAAAAGTGTCACCTAGATGAGGACGGGTACTATTCAGACTCTGTAATTTACGACTACCCGACCATTGCTCAGATTCATAGACTGCTAGGCAAATACAAGGTAAGATATCGTTTTGTTTGGTATTAACAAAACAACCTATTTACGAATTTAAAAATCAATTGTACTCTTCTAACCTTCCGAACGCTATGTTCTCTTACGCCTTCTGCTCTATAAGACATAAGTATGTACGTAGATTGAAACAGAAAATATACACACACTGGCACAATTAGCGGAATAAAAAGCAAAAATACCAATATAAACTGGTAACGTTTGTATTTCAATAAATAAAAAATTCGACATAGGATAGCAATGAAATTAACGTGAAGTAAAAATCAAAATGACACGAAGTACATTTTTTTTAGAGTTTGTGACAAAGCAGAAATGGCTGAAAATTTAATCGACTACGAATAAAGACATTGTCTCTAATTTTATTTGTTATAAATAAAATGGAAAAGCTGAAACTGTCTATTTTTCCATGTGATAAATGAAATTTGATTCATGATTTTTTTCTAATAAAGAAATTTAAATTGCTCTCCTGTAATATTTTCCAAATGCACGTTAGACGCTTTATCTTTCTAGCGTCGTAATAATAATTAACTCTAAGTTTAATAAATTAAAAACTTTTTCAACTAAATTTCGAAATTTACAAGAACGCAAAAGCAAATCACCAAAACTCAGAAACAACTCGACATAACTCCTTCTTAAAGCCCCTTTAAACCATTCTCGCCGTTAAACCATACCAATCATAAGGTTCTCATTCCCACTGCACGAGTGAGCAGGAACCGCCAATAACTATCTACTCACCTCGAACCACTCGACAAACCTCTATTTGCACGAAATTGAAACATATGTGAATAAATGAGAAAAATGATAGTCGACTATTTTTTTTTTTTTTTTCAAATTAAATCTCAAATAAAAAAGTAAAATAACCGGCCAGACTTTTAAAAAAATACTGCATTATATTGGGGTTTTGACTAGTGATCCCCTAAATGTGTCGGTAAATGTATCTATATAAAATATCCTGTAGTAAAGAAGACACTGTTCTGCGATTGGAAGAAAGAAAGAGAGAAATATTTATTCAGCATATTAAGACCAGGGCGTCTATTCAGTTCTCCGTCCTAGATCTATCGGAAACAATTGTTGTCAAATAAGTAACACTCGACCAAGTTAAAAGAATATGTCAATTATGAAACTTCATTTTTTCATTACTGATGGGTGGGCCTGGCTATCCCCTGGACTCCGTGGGCCGGGATTACCCTGGACACCGCTCGTACGCTTCTCTCTTTCAGTCTTCTATAATTTTTCTTCTTTTTTTATCATTTTAATCTTCTGTAATGTTTCTTCCATAATTTTTCTTCCATGATTTTTCTTCTATAATTTGATTTTCTTTTTCTTTCTTGGTATTAAATCTGTCTTGCAGTCTTTATTGTTATGTTGTTCAACTGTTCTTATAAAAGATATGTTCGCTGGTATGGGTCGTCATCTCATATTATTAAAAAGGATGGACGTAGATGGTAGACTGAAATACGTTGATTTAAAGAGACGTGTTTATTGTTCGGTCTCCAGAATAAAAGTGGCAAAATATACGATTTTAAATAAAACAAACTTAATTGCCAACCAAGCAATACGCACCACATGTTGCAGTAAGACTATAGATATAGTCTATCTGTACTACAGCGTCATGAATCTTTTAATTTCATCGAATATTACGTACTTGAAGAACGCCTGCTTACAAAAGAAGCTGCTGTAAAACTGGTTGTCAGTTGCAGTAGTTTTTATAGGATCAGATGACACGAAATTATTGGTGTAGGTTAAGAGTAAATTATAACAACTAATAACAAGTATTAGTGTCGTTTGGGTACATTTCCAAAAATAACTGAAATACGTACGTACGATAACAGAACATAGTACGGTACGCTAGCATTTAAAACAAGCGCGTTTATTTATTTACACTCATTGAGTATATAACCAGAAATAGAGACGGAATGTCATTTAATTTGTTTGAAAACTATTCTGCCATATCATTACTGTGACAACTGCGCTCCGATTGGCCAATTGACGGGTGTTGTCAATTGTTTCACTTCAATATAACCAGTTAACTTGAGCTTTGCCATAATGGACGAAAATTGCATAATTACATATATAATATTTAATTACCGATGAAATTTGATTCCCTTTGTTTTGTAATTAGATGTTTTGCTGTTTTTCCCCCACACCACCGAATGGAACAGCACGCCATTGTTAGAGAAATTATCTTTATTACAATAAATACAGAATATTTTTGTAATATACGGAGACGTACACACAGGTCACCTTTTGGCGCTGTCTATATTTCAGTACAAATGAGAATTGATATTTATAAGTGATGTATCACTGATGAGCAGGGATCGGAATAGGTAAAGTTATTTCACCTACACTTCGAGGAACATAGACAGAAAATGGAGACTGCCTTACGACAATATTTTTTAGGTCCTAGACCTGTCCGGGATTCGGGAAATCACTTAAGTACATTAAAAATTGACGTAATTGGGGACAGACAGGTACACTATATTTATCTTAACTTTGCGACACAGTAAAAAATATTGTCGTAAGGCAGTCTCCATTTTCTGTCTATGTTCTTCGAAAAAACTTACTTATTCCGATCTCTGCTGATAAATTACCGGAATGTATGGCCCTTATTTCGTCTCTATTTCTGGTTATATACTCGATGTTTGCACTAAACTGGACTTAGTATTATTGCAATACATTCTAAATACCTACAATTGCATCTTGTTTACTAGTAACTTGAAGTATTGTCACAGTTCATGATACTCGATTTCTTAAGTTCTAAAAGAGAATGGGAGTGGTCTATTTACATATTATCAAGGACCTAACATCACATTGCTTTAGTTGTGTACAACGTAAACTAAGCCGAATTAATTCATCTACTATGTTAGAGTACAATAATTGCTTCATTAGAATTGAAGTAGAAAATTAAAAACAATTGTAATATAGTAGCTTATGTGACTGTTACATATAATGAAAGGGATTAAAACTAGGGATTGCAATCCGGCGTCATTTTCAGTCCGGCCGGCTACGACCGGATTCCCATCAATCCGGCCGGATCCGACCGGATCCGGCCGGATTGATTAAATCAAGATGATTTTCGCTTTTTAGTACATAATAAGTGAATTAATCAAGTGTCACTGCACTTACATGTAGGTAGTTTATAAAAAAAACACAAATATATAAAATCAACTTTATTTCCTAACCAATGTTAAGACAAATAGACAACAAGAAAACAATTAAAATTTAGTAGTGTAGGTAACTAGTAATAATTTTACGACTTAACGAGTAGCTCAGTCTTTCTAGATTTCACTTTCACAGATATATCAATTTATAAGTAACAATATCAATTATCAAGTAACTATAATATCTAATAGATACAATTAACCTTACGTAATTAACTGAAATGAGATCAAAATCATTATTAAAGTATTTGAGAATGCTAACAAACAAGTCTTATAGGTATTTATGATTATGACAGACACCATCATGAATTGATGAATCTGTCGAACGAATGAATGGCAAAAATTATCACAATAATGAGTTTAGAACTCTTTAGTTTAATCAACTTACGATAAATAGTTATTTTAAGTAATAATTGTAAAAAAATATAAGTATTAAAAGAAAATCAATATTGATTTTGAAAATAAGATCGTAGAAAACAAATATTGTTAATTGTGTCATCAGCTAAACGACTTCTAATAGAGCTGCAAATATAGCCTGCGGCCGAAAAGGCCCTTTCAGCTTCTACACTTGTCGGCTTTATTGTCAGCAAATAATCATGAATAGCAGACAAGTATTCTCCTCGGACTCCATCGCTTTCAAATGTCGTCATTTCTTTTTTTAGGATTTTATCAAAATCTTTCTCTTTTTTAGTATGTACGCTATAACACGTGGCTTCTTTCTGGATTTGTAATTGTAATTCTTCCTGTAATGTCAAATCTTTCCTTAGTGATGGTGAATCTAAGTTCTCTTCTACTTTTTTTTCTATGTTTTCTTCAGATGTATCTTCTTGAATAACTCTTTCTAAGATTTTTGTCATTTCTGATCGTATGACTTTTTTCTTTGGCATAGTAAATGTATTATGTTTTTTATAATAAGAACAATATATAATAACTTACATTTTGATGAAGCAGCGACAAAACAAAACACATTTATTTCTTCGCGCGACTCGCGACTCGCGAGGCAAATAATGACTGTCTGGCGGTGGCGCGACGCGGATACGGGGGAATGAGCGGGCGAAGCGTAGTGGGGGTGGGGCGACTCGGCGACGAACGACTCGCACGCATGAACATGCATCAACATGCAACAGCTGTATTATTTTCCCACAAACTGCTAGCACCGGATCCGGTCTTCGGATCCAGTATATTGGTACCGGATCCGATAACCATAAAATGATGCCGGATCCGCCGGATTACCGGATCCGTTTTTCCGGATTGCAATCCCTAATTAAAACACGAGTGTGGGTTTATAGACTTATAGGTTTATAAACTGTTTTGTTAGAACAAATTTCTTTTCTGTGAAAATGTTATTATTGCATACTATTAGCATCAAATCATCGATTTTATTATTACATTCAAATTTCGAGCATCTCTGAAAAATAAAACTATTTGAGGGATTCGCTCTGGGCCTTTTGGAGGGAAAAGTGTCGTTTTTATTTTGACTTTCAATTATTTTGTGAAATCTAGTTTAAAGTGGAATAGGATAGTGCTATTGTGCCTTAATCGAAGATTAAAACGCGAAATTATACGAATCTCGAACTAAAATACCCGTATCGGCTCGTTCTAAGGAATCCCAAGTCAATCCAAGCACGCCGCCGCCTCAAATTGCCTATCCTCTTTGTGGCGGCCATATTTACAGAAACATAATTAAACGAAGATATGGCTCAAAGGATTTGTATCCAAGCCAAAATTATTAATAAAAAAAATAAAAAAACAATTTGATTCGACCTCAATTCTAATATCAGTCGAGATGAAGTTTTATTCGAAATGAAATGTCTATAGCAAACAATTTTGCCAATTTCACGCGTTACGAACGATATGATAGTTGGGCCCGACTCTTGTTTGTCTATGAATTAAATAAAAACTACGGTTGTGTGACATGCGTGAGAAAAGTTATTATTTGCCGCCATTTCGCCAGTCGTAACATGCGGTTCTTGAACACATGATGGTGAGCTTGTAATATGTGTATAGATAAAGCAGTATATGTAACTGTATATAATTAGGCATTAAAACATTCGTGTCATATTTTTATGAAATTTAGCTGTCAGCTCGTTTCGTTAACCCACACTCGTATTTTTTGCCTTTCATTATGTAACCGTCACATAAACCACTATTAAGTTTTTGTTGTACTGTCTGACACTTTTTAGACCTGTTTTTGGTAGTAGGCTTAGTCGAATAAATTAACAGGACTGTTAATCTCCATACCAGAGATGGTAACTATGAAGAAGGTCAAAATTCCGTCTTATATTTAGATGGCGCTGTAATTTTCTGCACTTTGACTAATGTACGTGTCGATAGATGGCATTGTGTGTTACAAATTAATTAATTAATTAACGCTTCCTACTAAGGATAGATGGCAATAATCCTAAACAAAATAAAAGAATAGCCGGCACTATCCATAAAAATCTATGCAATAAGCGCCATCTAGATGATTCGTTTGTTATCACTAAAAATTAGAATAGCTGATAAACAATGGTCGGAAAAAGTTAAATTAAAATAGCTACAAGGAGCAACATAGAGTTGTTAAAACCACTAAATATTAATTAATTATTTTTTAACTAATTTCCGGAAATGGTTTTAATGCATCGTAGGACAAAACTACTGACCTAGAGGAAGTCCAAGTTGGATTTTAAAGTAATTCTAATGGTGCCATGTAAAAAATGCAGTAAATAACCGACCTTTTACCAAAAGAATTCTTTTAAAATTAAAGAATAATAATTAAAAATTTTATTCGCAAGGGGAATTTTAGGACATTTTAGTTTGCATGAGAATAGTGATCGCGCTCTAAAAAGATTTTATTTAAATTCAAAAACACATTGTAACAGATGTTCATGAATTCGAACCACTAGCAGAAATGTCGTATTTTAAAAAGAAAATGTTCACAAAAAACTATTGGACGCTTAAACAAGACTACACAGTGTTATTTTTGATAGCCTCACCCATACTCGTATATGACTATTTACGTTCATAAATTTAATAAAAAGAGTAGTACCTTTCTTCTGGAAATCCGGAATCCGAAAAAGTAATTAATTAATTGGTGGATTTAATAAGTCTATGTTGCTCCTTATTGCAAAGTTGTTAGTAATTTACAAATAATTAGAAATGAAACTATTTTACGAATTTCAATTGTGTATAAAAAAAATTTGTTAGATTACCTGCTTTTGGCAATCGCGAGAAACTAAGAACAGCCCCATAAATATATATATTTCTTTCCCAGGTAAATGTAATATTTGCAATAACACAAGAACAGAAATCTCACTACGACAGTCTCCATGAACTTCTTGGCGATTTCACCTACGTAGCAAAACTCGAAAGTGACAGTTCCAACATCCTCAAAGTAGTCAAAACAGGGTACGAAGATATCGTAAGTGTAGTAGATTTTCAAGATGACGCAAAGAAAGGACCAATTAAAGTGAAGTATTTTACCGACTGTGGCGTGGAAGGAGCCCCAATGATTGAAGCTACCAAGTGCACTGGCGTTGAGCATGGCATGACGTTGAACTACGAAGCTCATCTTACGTTGGATCATTGTCCGACCTATGATAAGGTGGGTTGGAAATTTTTAACACGTATAATTTTTGCTTATTTTACATGACATACATATCGCACTGTTGGTACAATAGTGTATTAACTCAAAAAGTGTATTTTTTTCAGAATCGATGAAAAACTAATTACTCACTTCCCGCAAAATTTATGTATAGGTTAAAGATTATTACAGACTCTATTTTCGACGACATAAATATGTGTAAATTAAATAAAAGGGAAAAAACTATTTCATATTTTTGGGTAAGGATTGTTTTGGCCAGACTTCAATTGTTTTTTACAATATTCTAACGACGGTTTTATTATCGTGTAGGGAATTAAGTTTCAAGTTCAGATATGATTATAGTCCTGAATTTCACATATTTTGAATTACAACACTATTGCAATAGCAGTGCGATAATATGTCAAAATGGAAGTCGTAAAGTTTTACATTGTAAAGACGCATGTTTTCCCATAATCTCACTTGAAGTTAAGTGCGAGGGCCGATGGCACGAGTTTGTTCAAAAAGAGCCTATACACTCAATCTTTGAATAACCCCAAGTTGTAGTTTTAATCACAACGTACCGGTACAACCAGTCAACGCGTTTCGAGTTCGCGAATTGATCAGCGACAAGACCTTAACGTTCCGGAACCACATATCGTGGATTTGTTCAAATCCAGCTACCGTGTCCAGGGATCATAAGGTCCTAAGCTCGGAGATTGTCGGACACTCGTGCAATAGTGCCATAGCGCCTAGTCTCCTGTACGTGGACAGTTGTTATTTTATGTTGTCTCTTATTTTCAGTCCACACAAACCATATTGATCACTGAAAGTCAGCTCGGTCAGGATTCCATGACGTTGACGGTGGACCTTCAATGTGGGTGCGATTGCAAGGCTGAGTCTCCGTCTCTCATGTCCCATACTTGCGGGCCCAAAAGGCATCTTGTTTGCGGGGCTTGCTTGTGCAACCCGGGATGGTAAGAAATCGAATTTACTAATACTAGTAATAGAATTTTTTAAATACAGAGTAGGTTTTCATGTCTTCAAAAACTTTCTTGAACCTATGGTAACGTGTGTTTCGCTTAACCGAATCTATCACACTTGATATTAACCTTTTTTAATAACCTTTACTAACCTTATAAACTATTTCTGTCTTGGCAATTTAACAGAGCCACGGTTAGAGGTATTTGTACGTTGTTGTCGATTGTAACTTGTTTGCCTATAATATATAAGACGTTCTGATTTCCTACAAGATGAATCACGTGTTAATTTGTGACGTACCGCAACGCATCATGGCGCTTTCAAGTTACACAAACACCAACCTAGACTCACTCGTGGTTACTTTTCATCACGTTGGTTTACGATGTTTGCCATAACAAGAATGTCCAAGTTAATCTTGTGGAAGCAGATGTGTCCATTATGTTTATTTATGTATTCAATGTAATTTGACCTGATTAGCAGCAGATGTATCGCCAAAAGATATTTGTTTGTCTATATATTTTAGAATTAGCTCTGATGAAATTATTTTCTACGAAACATTGCGCTATGCGCAAACGCAGACACTTTTGGTTACCGACACAAAAGCCTTGTCGCTCCGTCGTAAAGTCACAGATATCTTTTCCATCCTTCAATTCCGGTTTCTGTTCTCACTCCTTCGCGTTCATGCGGGCAGGGTTTGGAATGCACTTCCTATTACTGTTCACGAAAGTAAATCGCTAGCTATTTTCGAAATGAGACTTAAGGAGCATTATTTGTTGACTATTCCATCCTTTTCTTAAGTATTATTTTATGAAATATGTATTTGTGTAAGTATCGATTTCTTAGGTTTTCGCGATTGTTACACATAGGAAATGAAACTATTTTTCCGGATTTAAATCGCGTATGTTTGTTTTTTTCAAACAAACCGACATTTCTTTATAGGTCCCATGGTCAGGGTTGACTGAGGTGGTGGTACAGTCATCAACCAGTTATGTCTAATATCAATGCAAAACACCCTATTTTTTCACTAAAGTTACAAAAGTTATTAATTTAGGCTAATAAATGTGTAGATTAAGCGAGCCACTATGAGGGCAGTTTACAAATAAAACCCCCAGTACACGCTAAAAAATTTGACGTGTCTGCTACAGAAAGATGAGAATGGTCTTGTACACGACAAGATCTAGCACGAAAGCATGTCGTGTTTGTTGTAGACAAGAAAATGATGAGTATGTTATACGATACGAATGCTTTAGGACAGACGTGTGTAGGGTAAAATGTGTCAGTGCATTACGAGTTTTCCAGGTAGCTGTCGTTTTACTACCGGCTGTGGGAAGAAATATGATGTTGTGTATGTTGACTGACAATGCATCTCACTCCGCTCCATACAATAACGGCAGATCGCGTCGTAGCGGGGGTAGACAAGAATTTTTTGTCTTGTCAGTGTACACAGTTCGTGTGTAGAAATGACATGAATTCTTGAATAGACCCGGCGACTTTTCTTAGCGTGGACCCACGTTAAGAAAATAAAGGAAATAAAGATAAAAAAAAAATTGTATGAAATAACATATTCACTTCTAACGCAAATATTATTAGTTACCCGTTGCTTGTATCGAACACAAGACACTTAAGTGGTCAAGTTAGCGCGGCTCTTTAAAACAGAGTCAATAGTGCCTTTTTAACCAATTTCAAACATTTTTGTGTTGGTATGTTTAATTACTCCAACACTTGAGAACCGATTACGATGATTCTTTCTTTGTAGGAAAGAGGGCACCTCAATTATGATCCCACACAAATCTGAAAAAGCTATCCTACCTGTAAGAGTGGCAAATTAGGAAACGAATCCGGTTTATATAAAATATATAACACTTGGCAAATAGATGTATTGAACACAGCTAAAGCAAATAGGCAAACTTTAAGGTTGATTTTATTTTAAGCATAAATAGAGACGAAATGGAAATACGGAATTTAACATATCGTTTCAGGTCAGGCCCCAACTGCGACTGTTCAACGGAAGACGAGGCAGCATCAGCAGCGTTGATTGCTAAATGTCGTGACGCCAACGCGACGCGATCGGTCCCTTGCTCAGGTGTAGGAGAGTGTATCTGCGGAGAATGTGACTGTGACGAAGGATATAATGGGAAATATTGCCAGTGCGAAGACTGCGGAATTGCGAAGTGAGAAGCATTATCAGCATTTGTTATCTTATGATTACTTCTTCTTTAGTAGCAGTCATCGAGTACCTATATAACCAGAAATAGAGACGAAATGTCATTTATTTGTTTGAAAACTGTTCTGCCATATCATTACTGAGACAACTGCGCTCTGACTGGCCAGCCCGAGTTCGAAACAATTGACGGGTGTCGTCATTGGGTGTAGTCAACTGTTTCACCTTAAATCGACCAGTTAACTTGAGTTTTGTTATAATGACGAAAATTGGAAAATTACATATTTAATATTTAATTACCGATGAAATGTGATTCCGTTTGTTTTGTAATTATATGTTTTGCTGTTTTTCCCACACCACCAAATAGAATAGCACGGCATTGTTAGAGATATTATCTTTATTACAATAAATACAGAATATTTTTTGGAATGTACGGAGACCTCCACACAGGTCAGTAGTTGGCCTGTCTATATTTCAGTGCAAACGACAGTTGATATTTATAAGAGCTGTATCGCTAATGTGTTACCAGGAATATATGGCCCTTATTTCGTCTCTATTTCTGGTTATATACTCGATGGTAGCAGTAGAGCTCCTTGTGAAAGAGTTCATCCTGGGAAGTATTGCCACATATGAAATTTGAAATTGCAGACATATGAGACTTGTCAACTTAACTTGTCAGGGTGACGGGCGCAGTCGCAGTACCCCTCAGATCTTTGCGATGAACTCTGAGTGGCACTGTAACTGCTGGTCAGGCGTGTCGCTTACCACACACGATTTGCTTGTCTCGTCACTTAGTATTATTAAAAAAACTTTAACACTTTATATTGTAAGTAGGTATTGTAGAGAACAATATTTTCTTTCGCACACACTCATATTATAACGTCACGCCAGACTGCTACGCACAGGTCCCAGGTTCGATTCCCGGGCCGGCAGAAATATTTGTATAGCCTATATTTATTTCTCTAGTGACTTTGGGTGTAATTTGTTTATATGTGTGTCCATGACACCCGCGACACAAGGTTTCCCTAGTACAGGGCTATATTGAGTGTATTATTATTATATTTTTACTTACAAATACCTTAATCCCTCTTGTTGGTTTTGAATGAAAACCAGCGCCTTGGAAACTTTGGCATATGCTGAGTCAGCGCCCTTTTACTGCTATGACAATAACGTTATGTAATTTTTAAGTTTTTTTAATATCACGATATTTTACTCCTCTAGTTTGTTATAAATTAATACAAAGATCGAACACTAAGAAAAATTCCTTCGATTCAGCTGGAAAATTATAAAAAAAAATTATTTTTTATTTATTTCAACCGTGCCAGACGCTTTACCAACTGACCTACGGAACGCACCACCAGATCTTTCGAATTACTCTACGTGCTTGTTGCAGATCTTTATTTTTGGTTTTTAACGACTTTTTGATGTAGCCCTGTCTGTGAGAAATCTAGTTCTGTATAATTTTATATATTTTCAATATTGTTAATTTTGAATAAAGTCACGTTTTCACTTTTGCGTTTAATGTGAATTTGTGTCATATTGAAATGAATTTAGTTTATCTATCTATATATCATGACTTGACAATGACAAGCAATAACAGGTTAATCAAATTGTTAGAGACAACGAACTGGAATGCGGTGGCCTGGAACGTGGCGTGTGCGCTTGCGGGAAGTGCTCTTGCGAATCCGGATGGACCGGCGACACGTGCTCCTGCCCCTTGGATAATGACACTTGTATCGCACCTGAAGCTGAGCAAATTTGTTCAGGGCGCGGAGTATGCGTCTGTGGTATGTATATTACAGTACTGTAACGGGGTTTAAGGAGCGTAGCAAAGGGCTCGATCCGACGGCGAAATAAAGTAAAAACGCAACTTTATTGTTTGTTGTACAAAAAGACGCAAAACGGGAGGTCCGGTAGGTGCTCCTACACAACCCATACGCTATTAAAATGTCTTTTTTTTATAATACCAAGTGACAAGGCTTCCAAAGTAAGCTACACGTTTGTCCGTAACAGTTGCAGTACCACTCAGAGCTTTAAATAGCACTGCCACGGCGCCAGTCACCCTGTGACATAAGTTGACAAGTCCCATGTGCTTGTAATTTCACCAGCACCCTTCAAAACCGGAATACAGTAATGCTGATAGAAATAGGTAAGGTGGCAGCTTCCCTGGACGAACTCTTTCACAAGGAGCTCTACTAGGTACTACCTAATTTGGTCCAGTAGTGCCGTACACACATATAGAATTCGAAAATAAAAAATACGTTTTTTTACATTGACACTTTGAAGCTGGCCGCTGATGGCCTTGACTACGCCACCGAATGAATGGGCGAGGTAAAGGTTCATAACCCGTAAAATAAAGAAAGACTAAGTAGCGTGTCTGAAGGCGCTCAAATGTGCACGAACCTCGGCTCAGGACGCCACTGGGGACTTCCGCCAGAAGGGCGTTGTAGGAGAGTGTTTGCTTGTTATGGAAGAGAACTCAAAAATACATTCTTTACTTAACTACTTATGGTACAGAGGGAAAATCTTAACATCACGTTTTAATAATCGCTTTGAAATGGTCAATGCCATCTAGCGGCATCGTGTCGAACTAAACTCCTTTACAGTGCAAAAATATTAATATTTGTTTAAACAACATAAGCTATGCCGATGACATGGTGCTGCTGGCGCCATCGATCAGTGCATTGAGAAAACTAATTGAAGTGAGTCATATGCAACATTCCATGGCTTGTTATATAATGTTAAAAAGTCGGGAGTTTATGATCTTTGGAGCCGCCGATAGGAAGAGTCCTACGTGTGCACTTTCTGTACTACTTAATGGTGCTCCGTTAAAGAGGGTTAGCCACTTTAAATACTTGGGACACTATGTTACCGATGACCTCAAGGATGACCTGGATATACAGCGCGAACGGAGAGCACTCTCGGTGAGAGCAAAGAAGCTTGCCCGCAGGTTCGCCAGATGTACGGCAGCAGTTAAGAAAACATTGTTTAAAGCTTTCTGCACACCAATGTACGCTAGCGCTCTGTGGAAGGGCTACGCTCAGTGTTCTCGGAATGCTCTGTGCGTGCAATACAACAACGCCTTCAGGACGCTGTTGGGGCTGTCACGTTTCTGCAGTGCCTCAGCCATGTTCACTGACGCGCGCGTAGATAGTTTTACGGCTATAAAAAAGTAAAAAGTCGGCATCGCTACTGAAGAGAATACGTGGCAGCCCCATTAGCCACCTGAAGACAGCTGCTGACAGGAATGAGTGCCCAATTATGCGGCACTTAATACATAATACAAAGTCCCTGGTAAAATATAAGTACTAATATAGTTTTAAGTCTGTACCTACTAACATTTGATTGGATCTCAGTTGTCTCAATAAATAAATGTTATTAATATTATTATTATTAATAATAATAATATTCAAAATTACATTTTAAAAACGCTTGTCGAGTCGTACCTTTGGTATAATAAGACCACATCTGACCATACGCCAAAAGTGCTTTCATCACATAAAAGTCATAAGAATACCACGAACTAATCGTACATGAAACAATTTATACCTATAAGTACATTGTACGCGTAATATTTTATAAACTTTACATAAATTTAAGTATAAAAAGATATCAACTAATTTCATTCGTAGTATCTTTAAAACTCTCTCTCTTGAAAAGTTGTCATTTTCCAGATGTAACCTTACTACAAGGATGCGTAGTACTGGTAGTATAGTTTGTCGCAAACGCCTTGAAAAAAAGTTATAGCAATTTTATTTTTAAGTATGATTGATAGTACATTAAAGTATAAACCTCACCGCATAATAGAAAAACACGCGTCAGTATAAAAAAAGAGCTTAATTCTCTATATTTCACACTAGGGATGTTGCGAATATCAGCATTCGAATTCATTGATGCTGATATTCATTGCTTATGTTAGAATCATCAGACATGACCTAAAAGACACGCTGGAATAATTCACCAAACCTTCCAGAAACAGACTGTAAGCCGCAAAAGCAGCTCAGTTGTTATTTTAAAATATAACTTAGATAAAATCCCACAACGAACAAGTCTGGCAGATTGATTGTTTTTATGCAGATTGATTCTTTCGTTAATAAATATCACAAAATAATTGAAATAACATTTAATTATAATACGAAAGAAAATGTTTTTTTCTTTAGATAGATACTGTAAGGATGTACATATTTCGTATTTTTTAAATACGTAAAATCAGCACCCGCATCAGCATGCGCTGATGTGTAAAAAACCTACATCAGCAACAATTACGTTTCACACAACAACAAAATTTTAAATGTTCCAGGCGTTTGCGAGTGCTCGTCAGTAGACAACGATGATAACAAATACACCGGCCAGTACTGCGAGGTTTGTACAACCTGTAAGGATCCGATGTGCGCCACGACAGAGTCCTGTGTCTGGTGTCACCTGAACAACACCTGCACCGACATGTGCAGTAACGAGGGGTACAACTACACTGTTAGCAACAGGATGATGGAGCTAGGTGACTACAATATAACGGGTAAGTGGATATTTATTATTAGCAGACGGAGTTTGTAAAAAGATCCCATTAAAAAGTGCAACATTCCCGTCCAAACTAGGTATTTAAACTTTTTCTTTTTATAATTTCAAGTGACTATGTATCTAAGTGATTACCATCAGCTTACCAGCTACACGCCTATCCGTAACAGTTACCAGTGCCACTCAGACCTTTAAATTGCAAAGATCTGAGGGGTACTACCACTGCGCCCGTCACCCTGAGACACAAGTTGACATGTCCCATGTGCCTGTAATTTCACCAGCACCCTTACCCTTCTAAACCGGAACGCAATAATGCTCATATTACTGCTTGGCGGCTGACATAGGTAAGGTGGCAGTACTACTCTGGACGAACTCTTTCACAAGGTGCTCTACTGCTACTACCTCCGTGGCCGGACGGGTTCGATTCCCGGGTCGGGAAAAATATTTGTAGGGCGTTATTTTTGTTTGGGCGTAATTTGTGGTTGTCTATGTGTGTTTCCATGGCACTGGCGATACAGGGTTTCCCTAGTGCGGAGATAAGAGTGTGTGCGTTATTATTATTTGTATTATTATATTATTTCTGTGCACTGAACTAATAATAAAGTGTGTGCTTACAAATAAACAAATCTCTGCCCTGTATCTACTCATTCCACTATTTTTATTGAACAGTGTAGCCATTTTGAATGATAAATCCAGTGCAATTATTCCAAAAGAAAAATATTTTAGTACTATTAGAGTTCCTTGTGAAACAGTTCGTCCAGGGAAGTACTGCTACCTTACCTATTTCTGCCGCCAAGCAGTAATGTCACCATTACTGCGTTACGGTTTTGAAGGGTGCTGGTGAAATTATAGGCACATGGGACATCTTAACTGGTGTTCTTGGCTAGTGTGTCTCAAGGTGACGGGCGCAGTGGCAGTGTCCCTAAGATCTTTGCGATTTAAATCTCTGAGTGGTATTGCGTCTGTTATAGATAGGCATGTCACTTACCACCAGGCGCACGACTAGTTCGTCCTGTCACTTGGTGTCATAAAAAAATATTTCTCAACCAATTATTCTTACTCAAATAATTAATTAAGTTCTACACAAAAATCATGTAACACATTTGGTCACGGTAAAGGTCGTATTTTGGCAAAATATGCACTTGACTCTGCACTACTGGGCACCACGACCTACAGGTTTCCTGCATCACGCCAAAGTTGTTATTTATTATTTAGTTATTAATTGCTTTTTGTCATGTGTATTTATATTAATTTGACTGCCTCAGTGGCCGAACAGTGACCATGCTGATCTGCCACGCAGATTCGATTTGATTCACAGGTCGGGAGAAGTATTTGTATGGCCTACTTTATATATCAAACCCACGTTTGTGTGTAATTTGTTGTTGTCTATGTGTGTTTTATTGTCTATGTGTGTGTGAGCGTGTGTTTTATTATTATAGTTGTTATTAATTTTTTTCCTTATTTTTTTTGTTAATTTTAATTTCTGTTTTGTATTTGCAAATAAAAGACTAAAAAGTATTAAACTGGTAAAACTTTATTAAACTTAATGATACGCTCATTACAGTTATTGAACAATTTTGGAAGACTTCTCTCTTCAAAAATGGCCGCTGTTATTTTCAAATACAAAAAAATCGGTGTTGCTACATTAATACTTAAAACGTCTTCTATTTATTTTATGGAATGAAATGTTTCAAGCAAATAATATGTTGCTCGCTATTATCTTGCATGTGGCAAGATAATAAACGTGTTATATTTCTATCTAAATCACACATACAGTTATAACAATGTCTACATAGAAGAATAGGTAATAAAAGTCAAAAGAATAGAGTCATAATTACATAATTTGTGGTCGCGTTAGCAAGGAGACAAATACTACTAACGTTCCGACTGCGGTTAGTGGCTCAAAAAGTTAGAGTAAATAGTTGAGCCACGGCACTAACATAGTCCGTTATACCCGAACTTAATAGGTACTAAACTAAAATACGAGTATGGGTTTGTCACAACATCACACGAGTGTTTTAATGCCTAAGTATGTGCAGTTACATACACTGCCTTATCCATACACATACGCTCTAGATGTGTTCAGGAACCGCATGTTACGACTGGCGAAATGGCAGCAAATACAAAAAAAGCTTTTCTCACGCATGTCACATAACCGTAGTTTTTATTTAATTCACAGACAAACTAGAGTCGACCCCAACTCTCATATCATTAGGTAACATTAGGATATCAAGTAGGTAACGTGTGAAATTTGTCAAAATTGTTTGCTATTGATATTTCATTTCGAATAAAACTTCATTTCGACTGATATTAGAATGGAGGTCGAATTAAATTGTTTGTTTTTCAGAGATGTTCGAATTTTTAATGTCATAATAAAATCGAATTCGATAATCTGCGCGTAAACACGCGCATTTCATTCAATAAATCGATTCTAAATATAATAATTTTTGTTTAAGTATTTGTTGATGACAAGTAGTCGTAATAATAATATAGTAGAACAATACTAGAATAAGACACGGACACTAGCCCGTTACACCAAGTACCAAGTACTAGAATAAGATAGTTAAGTCCTTTCTTTGACTTTATTCCTTTATTTTTTACAATGGAAGCGTTAATCGTGGAAAATTTGTCACACAATCTGTTATCAGTGCGAAGAATAAATAACACAAACTGTAAAGTAATATTTAACAAAGACTATGATGCTGTTATTACTGTTATACACACAAAAAGGACAAATTTCTTGCAAATCTAATGGAAATCTATCTATACATACTAGATTGCGAATTTGTTAATGAAACAAGTTCCTTATTAGCCGCAAATGTACGGCACAAAAGACTAGGTCATTTAAATCACGCAGGAATGAGACTCGTAGGCCTGCCTTTATCTAAAGAAAAATGTGATATATCCATGAAAGCAAAAAGTACAAGAAAACCTTTCCAAAACCAAGAGTTACCTCGGGCTATGAAGATTGGTGAATTAATATATTGTGACATTGGAGGACCGATAACTCCTGAAGGTTTGAATGGTGAAAAATATTACTTAACAATTATAGATGATCACTCCCACTCACTCTACACTAAAGTTTATCCTCTCAGAGCCAAAAATAAAGCAAAAGAATTTTTAATACAATACGTAAACAGAATGAAAACATATGGCACTAATGTTATCAGTATTCATCAGATCAGACAATGGAGCCGAATTTAACAGTAATGATTTCAAACAGTTCTGCAGCATTTCAGGTATAAGACAAGAGTTTACATGTAGTTACACTCCACAACAAAATGGGGTAGCGAAACTCTTTAACGCACATTAATGAATAAAGTACGAGCCTTGCTATTGGAGAGCAATTTACCAAAATATCTTTGGACAGAAGCTCTAAGATGTGCTACTTATCAACTTAATAGATCACCAGCCCGTTACACCAAGTACCAAGTAGATCACCTACTGTAACATTAGGAGGGGATGTGCCAGTAAATGTAATGTTCGGTAATAAAAATATCAAAAATATGATAATATTTTGAAGTATAGCATGGGTAGTGAATTTACCAAAATGAAAGAAACTTAAGGCAAGAGCAAAAGAGATGCGAATGGTAGGCTATGGTGGAATGGGATATAGACTATGGTACCCGGAAACTAATCGAATTATTGTCTCACAGGATGTTCGTTTTGATGAAAGTAATCATACATTTACAGAAGAAATTACAAATAAACAAACAAAGAAAAATACTGTGATGTTACGAGAAGAAGAATACGAAGATATAAGTGAATCTACTTACACAGAAGAAGTAATTGAAACAGATGAAACTAATGCAGATAATCAAGCAAGAACTAGTACAGGTAAACCTGTGAGACAGAGGAAGCAACCAGCAAAGTTTGATGATTATGAAATGAAGTTTATGCACATATCACAGAAGATGATCCACAAACATACGAAGAAGCTGTTGAACAAGGTAAAGAATGGAAAGATGCAATATGTAAGGAAATACAGTCTTTAGAAAATCTAGAAGTTTGGACACCATGTGATTTACCTAAAGGTAACAAAGCAATCGAAAAAAATGGGTGTTTCGAACAAAAGAAAATGGTATTAAGAAGGCACGACTTGTTGTGCCAGACGTTATCAACAAGATTTCTTGAATCAGTATATATATTCTCCAGTAGCCAAGATGTCTACCATAAGGCTGTTTTTATCACATGCACTAAGCAACGATTGGAATATAAGGCAGCTTGACATTCCAACGGCCTTTCTCAATGAAACATTAGAAACTGAAGTCTATTTAAAAATTCCAAAGGGTGTAAACATAGTAAGAAACAAAGACACAGTAATAAAGTTAAATAAAGCGTTGTATGGTCTAAAGGAGGCACCACGCTGTTGGAGCGAGTGTCTTGATAACTTCTGCGTAAAGAGCGGTTTGAAAAGATCTAGGTATGACGTGTGTTTATAGACAGCACCTAATTTATGGATGGTTATATTTGTCGATGATATCCTATTGACTGGAAGCTCAGAAAGCATAGAAAGTATGATTAAAAAGTTGAATCGAGAATTCAAAGCAAAAGATATGGGTAATATAAAGAGATACTTATCCATAGAAATAGAGAGATGAAAACACGTTAACATTGTCTCAAGAAAAATTTATTGATAAAATATTACAAGAGTTTAATATGATTGAGTGTAATGCTGTGGACACACCGATGATAACAGGATATAAGCCTGAAGATAAATCTGTAACAAAAGAAGTTCCATATAGAAAGCTAATAGGAAGCATTACTTACCTGTCCATGATGACCCGACCGGATATCACTTTCGCAACCAGTCTTTTGAGCAGATATCTTGATAATTACACACAAGATTTATGGAAAGCTTCTAAAAGAGTCCTGAAATATCAGAAAGGAACAAAATCGTTAAAACTTACCTACAAGAAGAATAAAACAATAAAATAACAGAATTTTCAGATGCTTATTGGGCTAGTGACAAATCTGATAGAAAGAGTACCAGCGGTATGGCCATATTCCATGGTCATAATTTAATTTCATGTTCTTCAAAGAAGCAGACTTCCGTTGCATTATCAACAGCTGAAGCAGAATATATAGCTGCAGCAATGTATCTGAACTACTCTACTTGAAGGGACTATGCAGTAAATTTGGAGAGTGTAGTGTTATTTTATATGTCGACAATAATAGTGCCTTAAAGCGCTCGAAACATATAGACCTTAAGGTGCATTTTGTCAAGGATGGTGTCTGCAACAAAGTTCTGAACGTTGATTATGTGAGCAGTGACAAAAACATCGCTGATACCTTAACGAAACCCTTGTGCAGCAATAAATTTAAATTCTTTAGAGATAAATTAATGAATTATTAGAGGTTCTTCTTCTTCTTTTAAATGTTATGGCTTCATCGAAATAATCAATGATTTTGCCAATGTCAAGTAAAAATAACTATGTACGGTAGTTTAATATTATTATAAAAATTATACAAAATAATGGCGATTTCGCCAAAATAATATATTTTTGTTTACAATTTGAAATATTAGATAGATGTCAAGAGTTTTGTTAAACCATAAAGAGATTAGAGACTTAAGAGTTGTTATTATTGTTTTAAGTTGTACCAAGTAGTGAAAGGGTTGTCACTTTTATTTTTTTTAAGTTTGTGCAATTTCAAGTTTTTTTTTGTTGTTTGTAACTTGAAATTGAGAGGGGATGATAAGAGTCGAAGCCGTTAAAAAAAACTTTCGCTCTGGACCTTTTGGAGGGAAAAGTGTCGTTTTTGTTTTGACTTTCAATTATTTTGTGAAATCTAGTTTAAAGTGAAATAGGATAGTGCTTTTGTGCCTTAATCGAAGATTAAAACGCGAAATTATACGAATCTCGAACTAAAGTACCCGTATCGGCCCGTTCTATGGACTCCCGAGTCAATCCAAGCACGCCGCCTCAAATTGCCTATATTTTTTGCGGCGGCCATATTTACAGAAACATAATTAAACGAAGACATGGCTCAAAGGACTTGTATCCAAGCCAAAATTATTAATAATAAAAATAGTAATGGCGGTGTGAATTCAAAAGTCTGTAAAAATAAAAAGATTAAGATGAACATATATTTTACTTACTTCCACTACTAGCAAACAGAAATGCTAAGAACGAATAAAATCAAGAGGCAATTGTCTGACTCGATTTTACAACCTGTTTGACTCTGTGATAATATTTCATGGAAACTAAAGATACAGAATTGCGCAACAAGCTCATTACATCAAAGAATGATATAGCTTACATGACAGACTAAATAAAACTAAATTTAATTAAAACAAAAAATGTCATTGCTGCTCTTGCAGCCAAACTGCTTCTACACAAAAAGAATATGGGCAGACGTGAGTTTCACAATTTTCCGAATTTATCAGTATCCTGCAGTAACGACGACTTGTTTGCCTACTGCCAACATTTGGAAAACCTCCACATTGACTTCACCGAACGATACCAGGACATTTTGAACTTGGAAATACCAGACTAGGTGTTGGATCCGTTTTCAAATGTCAACACAGCAATATCACCTCAGCTGGAAGAAGAACTTATAGAATTGACAACGAACGAGGAAATAAAAATCAAGTTCTAAAATGGCTACCAACAATTTTGGCTACAAAAACCTATCCCGCAATTGTACCCTGGATTGTGGTCAATCGTTCAACGATTCTTGATAGCATTCCCATCGTCATATTTGTGTGAACGTGGTTTTAGTGCTGTGACAACGCTGCTTACTAAAAAGAGAAATCGTTTGCATGTTACCGAATGTGGTGACTTGCTGTTCTTGAGTAAATTGGAACCTGATATCAACAAACTTATTAAACAGCATCAGAGTCATCATTCGCATTAGTTTTTATATTAGAATCGATTGTTTGTTTTATTTTGAGTAAAAGATACTCTGTCTGAATACTATAAAGTTGTGTTTCAATAATCATTCTCATTGGCAGGTGTAGCCCGTAAGAGTTAGAGTAAGAGCGCTGTTGTGTACTACCTACTGCGCTCAGGTCTCAAGTTAACTCTTGCGGGTTATAGTAAAAGTCTCGTTTGAATGTTTAATCTCCGCTAATATAGCTCACAATAATTAATTTAATTTCAAATTACAGTGGTGTAATGGTGGTATGTAGGTGAAAGAATGGGGGCGCTAAAAAATTATTTATTCTCAAAGTGGGCAGTAGACAAAATAAGTTTGGGAACCCCTGATCTAGATATATGTTTGTGGTCACGATAGGTATCATAAAAAAACAGCTTTTTTGAGTGTATATCGACGATCTACTGTCTTTTTTGCCGCTTTTTTATTCGTAATAAATGATTTGTTTCATCTCCACAGAATCAGACGAAGACCCTAAAAGCATGCCTTGCATATTTCGAGTTGAAGACGACAACCAAGAATGCCAGTACTACTACACATACACACCTGCTAACAAATCTACAATAGCAATGGACGTCGTCATTCACTCCAAGACCTGCGTCCAACCCACATCAGCTACAATAATGACAAGCGCATTAGCCATCATAATCTGCATTTTATTAGCTGGAATTATATGCATACTATTTGTTAAAACTGCACATATAATATCAGATAGAAGAGCGTACGCCAAATTTATTCAGGAGGCAGAAGAAAGTAAACAGAACATGCAGGAGTTGAACCCTTTGTATATATCTCCGATTTCGGTGTTTCGGTTACCAGAATCTTTTCCTAGGGATAAGACCGATTGATGTATTTAATGTTTTTAACTGACTTCAAAAAAGGAGGTTTTTAATTCGACTGTATTTTTGTGTGTGTATACACACATCAAAAAAAGTTTGCGATCAATAGCATAAGCTCCTATAATTCTTTAAATTTAACTTTATCAAGAAAAAGTCTATGTTGTATGCTTTCTTTAAATAGGAATACCCTGTTTGAAATGAAAATATAAAACTATTTTTTATTATTTATTTTAAAAAATTGAGCCATTAATCATAATGTAATAGTGATAGAAATTTCATAGAAAGAAAAAGACTGTTTAATTAAACTTAAACAACAATTTATTATTAAAAGGTGTGAATTCAATATAAAATAACTCCTCCCTTGGTTCGAATACATGCGAAGATCCTCCTGGGCATGCTGAGGATCAAGTTATCCAGCATTTCCTGGGGCAACCTATCTGGGGACGTGGCTCACGGTTCCATACTGCTCGTTTAAGAGCTTCCCACGCGTGCTGTATTGGGTTTAAGTCGGGCGAGCCGGCAGGCCAGTCTAATCGTGTGATATCGTATTCTTGAAGAGCAGCATTGACTCGTTGAGCTCGATGTGCGGGCGCATTATCATCGACCAGTACAAATTGGTGCCCATGGTTTACTCGGAATGGTCTGATGATATCATCAATAGCAACTGCTTTGTACATGTCTGCTGTCATGAAGCCCCGATACGGGATCAAAGGCGTTCTAGCTCCAATCATAATGCCACCCCAAAAGGACACCGATTTTCCGCCTTGCTGAACTGTTCCAGTGGCAGTTCTTTGTCTTTCACGGTCGCCTGGTCTTCTCCAGACACGGACACGTCGGTTATCTGGATGAGTGCTGATTCGGGATTCGTCAACGAAGAGACAGTTTTGCCAAATGTTTTCGTCCTCACCTTCTTCATTTTGCCGAAGTCTAGCCCACTGCAATCTTCGTTGTTGACGTTGCCGGGAATTGAGCGGAGCTCGCCAAGACCTCCGTGCTCGTAATCCAGACTGGTGCAAGCAATTGCGAACGGTCTGCGTGCTAACTTCAAGCCCAGAGGCGGCCCTGACTTCTGCTTTTATTTTAGTGGCGTTGATTGTTGGATCACGGGCTGCCAGCAATCTAATATAGCGCTTTTGGGCAGCTGTCAAAACAGTTGGGCGACCGCTGCGGGGTCGGTCAGCTAAATTCCCCATTCCGTGATACCTCTGCAACGTAGCCACGACACAGGATTGGGATATAGCAAGTCTGCGTGCTATTACTCTCGTGGTGTATCCTTCTTCCCTCAAAGTTACTATTCTAGCTCGTAAAACCTCTGATAATCCTCTTGGCATTTTCTCAATCACAACTTTCTGCGAAAAATGTCTTGAATCGCTTATAATTGACTAAATCAGATTTCTGAATGAGCGTAAGCTAGGACTGAAAGCCCTTTTATATGAAAAAACAATTGAACGGGGTCATTGTTTTATGTTCTAATTTATTTTTAAATAAAGAATCTAAAAAGAAGAAAAAATCATAATATAATCTACAGTAACAAAAAAGATTTCAGTTTTTCGAAGTGATCGCAAACTTTTTTTGATGTGTGTATGTTACTCGATTACTCTGGCGCTTGTGAACGGATTTTGATGATCCTTTTTTTTGTTGGATAGAGCAATCGAGTATAGAGGCGAAATGTCATTCAATTTGTTTGAAAACTATTCTGTCAAATCATTAAGTACTGTGACAACTGCGCTCCGATTGGTCAGCCCGAATTCGAAACAATGGACGGGTGTCAATTGTTTCACTTCAAATTTATTTAGACACAAACATGGACGAAAATTGCAAAATGACATATTTAATATTTAATTATCGATGAAATGTGATACTGTTTGCTTTGTAATTAGATCTTTTGCTGTTTCTCCCACACCACCGAATAGAAGAGCCCAATTGTTAGAGATATTATTTTTATTACAATAAATACAGAATATTTTTGCGATATACGGAGACGTACACACAGGTCAGTTGTTGGCCTTGTGGGCCTATTTCAGCTATCTAAATTTGTGATTTCAGCGCAAACGAGAATTGATATTTAAAAGTGATTTACGGCCCATTTGCCTGATCCCTGGCAAATCGCCAGGGATGGATCGAATTCGGGCTGGCCAATCGGAGCGCAGTTTTTACTTTCTTTTATTTCTCTTTAAAAAGACATTTTTCATGTAAAAGATTAGTAATTATGGTGATACGATACACGTTGTCCCCACTCTCTGAACCGTGGCTAAAGTTACCAAATGCAAGAGAGTGAGAAGTGGGGAAAAGAGGATAGATAGATGTTGTCCGAAAGTAGCAAAAGTGGGCATAAATAAATATTATCGGAGCGCAGTTGTCACCGTAATGATTTAGCAAAATAGTTTTCAAACAAATTTAATGACATTTCATCTCTGTTTCTGATTATTACTCGATTGGTTAGTTTAGTTCGCTCGGTTAGAACAGTTCGCAATGTGAACTTAAGTATGAAAAGAAGCTAATCTAAGTTAGCTTGCCTTCCTTCGGTGTGGCCTGCGCGTAAAGGAAATGTGAACCATTTAATAGCCAACTTTAGACTGAGCATAATGTTGTCACATTTTTTGTTTTTGCCATACTTTCATGATTACAAAATGTTTTTTTATTTATGACACTTTTGATGTTGTGCTATATGGATTAAAACAAGCCGGATTCAAGATTGCACTGCACTGGAAAAACATGCTTTAAAGTTTTATTGTTCCTTGTATAATTAAATAAAGCCACATCTGCAAAATTACAACTTTTCAGAAGAGAAATTCAAAGATTCTATGAACGAAAATAGTCAATAACTTATAATTATGAATACCTACTAAGATCGAACATACAGAAATTTCGTCGACCCGGTGGGACATGAAACCACGTCCATGCTGCACGTCGCTGCTAGTGATATCTGGGGAGATCGAAAAGCGACGCAACCTTTGCAGGTATCCCAACAGACGCAGATGTCGCTTTTCGATCAAATGTATTTATTGTCAATAAATATAGTTGACAACTTTTTATTAATTATGAGAGTTACAAAATTTCACGTACATCGAGTATATAACCTGAAATAGAGACAAAATAAATATTCATCGTAACTCATCAGTGATACATCACTTCTAAATATCAACAATCGTTTGCACTGAAATTACAAATTAGAAAGCTGAGATAGTACAGCGCCAACAACTAACCTGTATGGACGTCTCCGTATATTCCAAAAATATTCTGTAGTTATTGTAATAAAAATAATATCTGTAACAATGGCGTGCTGTTCCTTTCGGTGGTGTGGGGAAAAACAGCAAAACATCTTATTACAATATAAATGGAATCAAATTTCATTGGTAATTAAATAATTAAACATGTAATTTTCATCCATTACAGCAAAGCTCAAGTTAACTGGTGGATTTGAAGTGAAACAATTGACGAATGACGACACCCGTCAATTGTTTCGAATTCGGGCTGGCCAATCGGAGCACAGTTGTCACAGTAATGATATGGCAGAATAGTTTTCATACAAATTAAATGACATTTGTCTCTATTTCTGGTTATATACTCGATGTTCACGTATGTACGTACTTATTATTTGTTTTCATGTACTTATTTTTATGACCTTCAATTGTGATAAAAGCACTTTAGGCGTATGATCACATGTGGTTTTATTACCAAGTACCAAGGGTACGAATTGTCTTTCCGTTTGTTATAATAATGGAAATCGAGGATTTCTTCAAATAATTCAAAGTAGATTAGTATCTCGAATCCAGAATTTCCCGTATAATACGGTTCATTTTGCTTGGGTGATACTGGCTTTATTTCAGAATTTATTTTCCTACAAACGAAATTATAGCCATTTCAAAAATGTATATCGTGTAGGTACTATACGTGTTCTATTTAATTAAGTTAATATAAAAAAGAAAATCATTGGTATGTATAAAGTACTTATTGAATACAGCGGTTTTCTTGTAAAATTTCGAGGTAAGTTTGAGTTTTTTTTTCTATCGTGAATTTTTTTAGGAACCGTGTTTTCACACCGTATAGTAATTAGTGTATGTCTTCAATTTTTATACATATTTTTTCAAAGTGATTGATTCAACAGTTTCACTATTATACGGAACCAAAGCCATTTGAGGTTGTATAGACTCTTAATTAGGACAGCTCAAGATACGAAGACGTACTTAAAAAATAAAATTGTAATTTTTTCAATTTTGCTAATAAGGTAACAAAATTGAAAAAATCGGAGTCGTTTTTAAGGTACTTTTATTTGTTTATCGATTTCAATCTAAAGTGCACTTTACGACCATTGACATAAGATGGATTTTTGTCAAATTTTACTTTCATTAGATTAAGTAGAAATAATGGGGTCAGTACGATTAGCATTTGTTGATAATTGTATATGTAGATAGAGCGCCTGACCTAGAAGTAAAGATTTTGTATGGAAATATTTTATTTTTAAAAGTAATGCCTGCACTTTGCTGTGAAATGTCTCCGTAATCGACGTAAGTGCAGGCCCCTGTACGCTGAATATACGTCATTGTACGTTGAATGTATGCCATAGTACGTTATTGTACGAGTTTTATATACAAACGTAAGTCATTCTATAATTAATTGTAAAAGTTTCTAGAATGAATGTTCACCTTTCAAGTCAATCGCATTGTACGCCGGCCGATGCATACATTACGTTATTACGTACAATGCGATAAGATAATAATCTTATCTTACGTTTTTCTAAATGGTATATTTTCTAAAAACGTTCAAATTTAAATAATGGTACAGAGGTCTGATTTAAAAAAAAAACCAATGAAATGCTTAATCAATACATAAATAAAAGATTTTTGTAATAAGTATATCACTTTTTTATTTCTATATCTTAACATAATTATAAAAATTATTCTCATTGACAATTCGCGTGATATTTGTTAATAATACAATGAAAACAATTCCTATAATAAATGCCATTAAAAATAATCCCCTGTTTACATAAAATAAAGTATATAATATACGAGGTAATTTTAATGTAACGGATAATTCAATAAGTAATCGATTCTACTCTTTATATAGCAAAATAAATTTATAAAACATGTTAAACAAGGCTTTTTAAAGCAGCAAACTTATTAACGAATATTTTCGCTGTTATTCAACATCGTCCCGCAATTATGTTCGCAATGAACGAGTAGTTTAGTCAACAAGTCGACAGACTTATCGACATTTTAATTCAAAACCATCGTTAATGGCGAACATTACAGCCAACACAGCTAACATTACGGCTTTCAGTTACGCAAACCGAGACTCGATGCGACTCTATGTCCCAATATATATTTTTTCCTTATGATGTAACTTCATCGTCATAATGTGAAAAAAAACATTAATAATATTTCTTAGTGAATTAAATCCAACAATAATTTGTAGATTTCAATTACCATATTAATGGATGGTAAATATGAAGTTTAAGAAAATATAATTTTTTGGACGTAGCTGCAAGATTACGTCGTCTTAACATTCCCGTCCTATATAGGTTGGGTAATTTCCAGGTTAGTTCTCTCTACCTAACTTCGGAGGCAATTTTTATTATCTAAGTATCCGAGTATATTATCGTGAAATATTAACAAGATGCCTATATTTTAATCACTTTGTCAGTAACCTCACATCAGATGTTGGACATTGTTGATTTCAGAGAGAGAGATTATTCATTCTATGTTTTTTGTTTAGGTAAATGAATGCATATTCCAATCTCTAGACATAAGTTTAGGAGCATTTAATAAACTCTTTTTTATGTAGGTAAGTTTTAATTAAAGTTACACAGCCAATACATAGGCAATTGAGCAATAATCGATATACCTCTATATCGTTTTTACAGTCGTATAAAAGAGTAAGTTTTCGACGAGATAATTAAGATATTAAAAAGCATAGCTTGGCGCCCATTAACTAGAGTTATACCAACAACGGTTAAAATGACTTGAAAATTCTAACTTAAGCCATTTACGCAGCGATCAAATTTAAAGTTAATAAAATTGACAGTTTGCACAGCTTACATGGTAATTAGCATAGATTTAGTATATATGGTAATTAGTAAATTAAAAAATTATAATACATAACTAATGTGACCATTATTTTTACCCTCAGAGCGGGACACCTGTAAATTTAATATTGTTTTAAAAATAAAATACATGTTTATGATAGTTACTACATGTTTAATGATCGATAATTCAAAATAGAATTAATGTTGTGTAGTCTGGCGGGCTGGCTTTATGTATGTGTCACGTATGTCCTGTTTTGTCAAATTGGGATGTTGTTAAGTATTTTGGGCAAAGCGGGATTATCCCGCTAAAAGTGGCACGTATGGTCACGTTACATAACCTTTAAAGCTCATCATATGCAGAATAATGTATTTTATATAGGCTGTGTCAAAGAGTTCCGCTTGTACACTTTTCGATACATCATGTATGACCTTTATATATCTTAAAATCGTCTAATAGTTAATAAAAGATGACTAACTGAATTTCACAGTGAATTCATTATGATTTTGAGCGTGGTAGCATGAAAACTTGTGCTAATTCTTTTGTACTATGTACTATTCCATTTAATATTGATGGGTGTTATATTCTACCCAATAACTATGTTTTATAACATAATGTTATATATATATGGGCACAACTTTATATAAAAGGTATTTTTAGTACATTTCAATGTAGGATCAGCTAAAGAAGTGTCCGGCAATTTCAAGTTCTTTAGTTTAACAGCTTTTCATCGCAAATACCAAATTAGAAGAGTTTGATTCCCGAATTGGTATCTACTACCGGGACTAATCTAGCCTACCATTGAGAACGTTAAATAGAAAAAAATTAAAGTGATTTTGTTATTATTTTAGAGTTGGTCTTTTTTTTAAACGGAGTAAATTGACATTTGCAGGATTGTCAGTTTTTATAAAAATTTAAATAGTCATATGTTGTTGTCGACAGTTTTATCGATAGATCGAGAAAGTAAAATTTTGTGAAAAAAATTCTGAATTGTGAATGTTACGACGTTCTAATGATTGCTAAATGCGTTATTGCCGTCTTCATTCTTACTTTGACAGTTGGCCTACAAGTAACGAAATCAATTTTCATTCTTACACATTTTAATAACAGGCGGATTTGATTATCTATAACGAATTAAAATGAAAAACTTTAAAATATGTATCCTCTTTGTATTTTTTAAAGACATAAGTCTAAATGTAGTGTTTTATGTATAGACTTACAAAAAATGACAATTCGAATGAATCTGTGCCCAGCAGTTGGACGAATAAAGGGTCTGTGATGATTCAAATGAAATAACTTCGGCTATTTATTGCAGAAGCGTAACCAACATTCAGTCGATATTAATGGAATATTTATCACTAGCTACTTTGAAGCGGGCAACACTTTTTCGCAATAAATGTCATTTTACTCCGTTTTCAAAATAGCTAGACTATACTTAGAAGTATAATTATTTGCATAATGTTTGTTTTTTCTAACACCAAGTGGCAGGACTGACAAGTTGTGCGCCAGGTGGTAAGCGACACGTCTGTCCATAACATTTGTTGACCATTCTGAATTTTATATCACAAAGATCTTACGATCACTGCCACTGCGTCCCTCATCTTGAGACAAAGTTGACAAGTCCCATGTGCCTGTAATTTCACCAGGGCTCTTACCCTTCCAAACCAGAACGCAGTAATGTGAGCGTTACTGCTTGGCGGCAGAAATCAGTAAGGTGGCAATACTTCCCTGGACAAACTTTTTCACAAGGACCTCTACTGCTACTGATTTTTTATACATTTTCGTAATTTTCGAGATATCGCAGTGCTATTTCTATAGTGTTGTAACTCCACCTTAGTGATATTTAAGATTATACTAATTGTTGAACGTGAAATTTGATTCATTATACGTGAATAGAACCGTCATTAGAATATTGCCAGAACCAAACAGCAAACTTTTTTTTGTGAGCCACTTCTGTACAAAATAGTCCTTACTCGAAAATATGAAATTACCTTTATCTTTTTATTTTTAAATATATTTGGCAAGTACGATTACTTAGGTGTCTGTAATAAACTTTAACCAATGCATAAAATTTAATAACTTTTTTAGGTGATGATACACCATTGTATCATCACCTAAAAAAATGTGATTTAAGCTGTTTTTGTTGAAAATAAATCGTATTTTAGCACTAACAATGTTTTCAATTGAACAACAGAAATGCACATTCAAAATGTCCGTTTATATAAAAAGGCCCCAATCATGAAATCATGAAAATCACATCCACTTAACTTATTACGATATATCGTAACTTAACTTTGACTAAGTACCACAAGTATCACAACTAAATTACTTGATTAACCTAAGTTATTTCAACAGAACCTGGTAATATGAACATTCCTCTCTATGTTATTACAAAACTTAACAAAATATATACATGCAATTTAGTACTAATTCACAAATAATATATTTTTTACTAAAGTTTAGTACCTACGAAAAGTTTATTTTGTATATAAAATTTCTTATTCTATAATTCTTTATAAGAATTTGTACACCTAATAAAAATATTTTATTGAAAATTATTGGCTGTGAAAGATTTATAAATATATTTTTTTTTAATTTCGAATTTAATTTCTGTTATGCACAATAAAGTCGAAAATTAAATTAACACCTTTATTCCATATTCAATACACTATACATACAACGCAATACCTCTCATTAACGGCCAGTGCCGGCTTTACTTATGATGCGGGGAGTACGACGCGACGCCTCCAAAGAGCCTCTCTTGCTTGCGAACGAAGTAAACGGGCTATTAAGCCATAGCCCAACATCATTTATGATTGTACTAATTGTACCCGAATTTGCAGCGCAAACGCAGTTGCAGCGACTAAACCTTTGCACACGTTCACAAATTCAGTGGCGCCGTAGACGCGCGTCGTCTGCGCGTATACGCGCTGCAGACGCGCTTCGAATAAGCTTCTCGCGCACGTTTGTATCGCGTTTGACGCGCAACTATCTGCTAGCGCCTTCGGCACCGTAAACACGCGTTCGTGAAACGCGCGTCGTAGGCGCGTATAATATGCGCCGACGCTGCTCGTTCAGCAATAGAACATATAAATGCTTGACCTGGTGAATGTACCGCTTTGCTATCAGATATCAACAATGTAACTGTCGCTACTCAAAATTGTTAAACTATTAAATAGTGTTATACACTTTTTAATTTGCCGGTTGCATTACACACTCATTTCAAAACGGGAAATACTGCAATTAAACAATTTAATGGGTAGAAAGTAGTAACGCACACACTAGGGAAACCCTGTATCGCGGGTGCCATGGACACTCACCTAGACAACCACAAATTACACCCAAAATCACGAGAGATATACATGTAGATCATACAAATATTTCTCCTGGCCAGGGAATCAAACCGTGCGTGGCACACCAGCATGTTAACTGTTCGGCCACAGAGGCAGTAGAAACAGCAGTTTAGAAGGCAATATAGAATCGGAAAGACAAAATACTTAACATCGCCGCCTTACTTTGTCAAACTCGTATCTTAAAGGACAAAGTCCCTGAAATGTAAAAAACGGATTGTATACACAAAATTTGCAGGCTGATTTCACATCAAATTTCCTTCATATTCACACACTGGCTTTTACCTATACTTAAAGTAATGCAACCAAATTAACACCCTTGATAAAAAATTTAAAATAACGGGAAAGTTTTGCCATCTTCTCAATAATCACTTTTTATAAGATACTACTTTGAGAAAGTAAAACATCGATATGTCACCTCTATGCGCTTTGCGTTAGCAACATGAAGATTTGAAAAGAACCAGGCACCCTCTTTTACCACCAGACATCCAAACCTATCATCTCTACTTTGTCGGTATTGCCTTCAGGCGTACTAAGCGCATTTTGTCATCTTTTATTATGCGCATCGCCCAAGAATATAATTCCCAGTCTACACTGTTTCCGAGCATATACAACCCGAGTATCTCTAAGGCGCAACCAAATCTCTTCTGGGCGAGTACGTTTCATCGTAGACCCTATCTTTGTTCCAGGGCCAGGTAGTGGTCTTGACATTTGAACATGTCCAATTACATTTCAGGCACAGTATGCTGAAGGTGTTGGTTCGAATGCATCCGGATCGAAGGTTTTTATGAATAATTAACTTCGTTTACTTCAAAAAAAGGCAACCGAGATAGAAATATCGGCAGGGCGTCGTCACTCGCTCAAGGTCTTGTGATAAGTGCCTACCGCTGAATGTACTGACGTCGGTACAAGCGCTCATGCAAGTCTTACATTTATGAGCATTCAGCTCCGCACGTTATTTTCACCTCTGTGAGCGCGTGGTTAGGTTCCTTTTTCCTCGTAGTGTGCGCTTCGTGTCATTAGTTAGGTTTAGTAGGCTATTATAGCGTAGGTATTTTCGATTTTGTATGAGACTAATGTAACTGTTACGTAGTAACTGATAAGTAATCTGTGATATCCGGTTGCGTTCAGTCCGTCCTTTAGATACGCGATCAGATCGCTATGCTATTCTTTTCTGCTTGCATTGATGTCGGTTCGTTTTGGCTCAGAATTTTCGTGTGCATAACAGAAAAACCATCGAAATATTATATTCTGATATGTAACTAATCTTTCACTTGAACGAAAATATGGAATGCTTGTCGATATAGGCACTTATATCAAATCATCACCATACCCAATTAACTTCGATGCCTTAATAAAATTAATGCATTGATTGCAAGAGCACGTCGACTGTCTTCGACGTTATGATTAATGAAGACACGTATCTTGTGCGGTGTTTTGAAGAAATAGATGAATAAGGGTCACATAGAAAGAGCAACTCCGGAGGCGCTAGCACTAGCTCTTTGAACTAGTCGCTACAGGTCTCGCACAGCCTCGCGGCTGCTCGCAGTGCTGTACTATAACATTCTATTTCATCAAATCAATTTGAACTTTTTTGTAGAAAAAATAAGATTCAAAATGCTAAGATGAAGATTCAAAATACTTTACACCAAAAATCTCCGGTCACTGTTCTTTCAGTGTGACTTGACACTTACAATTCATAAATAGTAATATAATATCATCGATAACTTGGTATAAATTCACGTTAGGCGTTATTCTCGCCCATATACAGTGTTATTATTTGTAACCGACTTAAAAAAAAGGAGGAGGTTCTCAATTCGAGTGTACCTATGTTTTTTTGTATGTATGTTACGCGATAACTCTCTCTGTGAACCGATGTTGATGATTCTTTTTTTGTTTGAAAAGGGTAACTCAGATGTGGTCCCATTTAAATTTGAACAAAACATTCCACCTCTAAGGGTGGCAAACCAGGGGATGAATGGTTTTTGATATCGGCTTTTGCTCTGTACTGAGATTATCATTATTTCTAAATTCTAGTAATCTTTTCAAAGAACCGAAGTGGTTAATAGTGTTTATGAAATATGATAATCAATAAACTATATTTAGGCATCGTAGATAACTAACTGGTTATGTAACACACAGTACTCGTTCTATTTCTCTCTTACTTGCTTAATGTATAAGTTTTGATCTAATCAAGAGCCCTGTTCTTCAATAATTTCAAATGCAATCTAATAAATCGCACATGCCGCACAGCATTCATATTAACCTTAAAAGTTAGTTTTGCGCTTTCTCTAATCTAACCATAACCATTTGCGTCACCATTCTGAATAAACTTAATGAGGGACTTGTCAGAAAGCAAATTTATTAATGAATAACTCAAAAATAAATATAATTTGACAAATTAAGAGAGACTACTTTTGGTTTAAAGAAACATACATTTTTTAAATTCAAGGTTAGGCAGAAATACCTTTTAATTATAAGTCAGTACGTATGTACATGGAACTGTCAGTCTATATAATAAATCCCACTCGGTACGCAGTTGGGCACAGGTCTCCTATAAATTTTGTCTTACATGTGGCATTGAATTATGGCTACACTTAAAATTTACTTTGGCCAAGTCCCTCATCTCACAACTTGTCTCAATAATTAAAAATGTGTTACGACGAACAAGAAGACAAGGTCAGACGTGCCGGTCGTGCCTGGCGGGCGGCGCGAGCGACATGGGGCGCGACTCCCGCTTGCCGTCGATCATCTTGCCGTTGAGCTGCGCCGGCGCAGCTGCAGGTGCGGGCGACGGCGAGTGCGTCGGTGGTGCTGCGTCCTTAACTAGCAAACGCAGGAATTCTGATATGCATGGCCATGGCACTACCCTGAAAAACAAAGATTTGTCAGCGTTAATATTGTTCTAAACGTACTGTTAAAAAGAAAACTGCATAATTAATAAATAGTAACTTTTGACTAAATTAATCTTAGACGCTTAATTTTTTACATAGTTTTTATATATCCTCTTTTTTTGGAGAAATTTTGTTCTTTATTGTACGTTTGTTAATGTACCATTATACACCTGCACACGCGAGGACCCGTATAACGCCAGATTATACTGTGTCAGTCGCTAAGTACTTACTGTTTGAAATTTGTAATTATGGCAGAATAAGCTACATTTTTTTTTAAATAAGAACCAACAGCGCCTTATTCAGATAAATCAATAAATCGATTGATTGAAATATTTTATTTATATCAAATATATTTGTAGTATATGTAATTAGACTAATTAGCATGTGAGTGTTTTGGTCATTACTGTAAGTTTACATTGTGTGTTTATAAATAAATATTTTTTTTAGTTGGATTGTATTTACGATGAGTGGATGGAGAGAGGAATGGAATGGCGTGACATGTTAGGATTTTTATATTTTTTAAATACATAATTTTTTTATTATATCAAATGACGGGACGAATAAGTCGTGAGCCTGATGGTAAGCTACACGCCTGTCCATAACAGTTGCAGTGCCACTCAGAGCTTTATATCGCAAAGATCTGTCACCATGAGACATAAGTTGAGAAGTCCCCTGTGCATGTAATTTCACCAATAATATATAATGCTAACATTACTGCTTGGCGGCAGAAATAGGTCAGATGGCAGTACTACCCTGGATGAACTCTTTCACAAGGAGCTCTACTGCTGCTAAGAAGATTTTGGCTCACTATTAATCTTAAAGGTCTGATGATGTGACAACTGGGTCTGAGTATTGTGAATAGCAAAAAGTGTCAAATTAAACAATGGTGCAATTGTTTAATTTTTTTGACGTGAAGTTTTTACATTTTCACTTTCTATATTATTATGACAAAAGTTACATAAAATTACAAGTTACTTTTTAAATATTTATTTTCCATACTTCTCACCGGCGAGAAGTGTGCCATCACTATCGTAATCTCTCCGCGGAATTGACAATGACATTGTCGCAGCATTTTTTGAGTCTATGCATTAAAGGCACGTTTATTCTTAAGACGGTTCGAAAATCTCAAAAGTTTAATTGCCAAATCCCGGTGTGGGGATTTTTTTGGATACAAAAGCGTATTCCGTATTAGCGAGCTACTGCATTGTAGATAAATAAGCATCTCTTTATTCGACCACTATAATCATAACAATACATGCTTTAGCAACTCTGTTAAATAAATATGCTTCATTACAATATCATCGGTGTTTTGTAGAAAGGGTAAAAGCGCAATTTCGAAAAATTTTTCAGGGGTGCATGTTAGGTTTTAACGATTATTTTAAAATATTTACGAACTGTTTTAAAATTCAATTTTAGTTTTAATTAAGTTTAAGTTTTAAAATACAATTAGATTTACAAAAAGAATCCTCATTACCTTTATAATGTTGTTTCTTAATAATTCTTTTTAATAGTATTTCCGAAGAAATTATTAATTAGTTTTAAAATTGAATTTAAAAATTGATGTAAATATTTTAAAACAGTCGTGAAACCTAAAACACGCTGTTCTGATTTTTTTTCAAAATGGCGCTTTCGCCCTTTCTACAAAACACCGACGATATACCAAATGTTCCTAAACCTAGACAGATTTAATTCCTATAAAATAGTGTCTTTTGTAGGTTAATACAAAGCCAATAGACATAAAGATAATAAACTATGATGTGGTACGATCGACGATACAATAACTGTAAGACTTTCATTCCGAAATAGGCAATCCATGTAAGAATGCAACGACACTAATGCTTTCAAACGTTTTAACGATTGCGTTTTATAGTGCAATTTATAGTTTACACTATATTTTCGTTGATTGGAGAAAGTCAATTTCTGTGTACAGGCAAGGGCAATCTTACTTGAAGATTTATCCAAAAAACAACAAAAGCACCTAAGCAACAAACTCTGGTTCGTCTCCAGTAGGATCGAGGGAATTTTTCATTGTGTTTGTATGATCAACAGCAGCGGTAGAGCTCCTTGTGAAAGATTTCGTCCAGGGAAGTACTACCACCTTACCCCAAGCAGTAATTTAGCATTACTGCGTTCCGGTTTTAAAGGGAAAATGAAATTACAGGCACAGGGGTCTAGTCAACTTTTGTCTCAGTGTGACGGACGTAGTTTTAAATCACTGCTACGGATAGAGGTGTCGCTTACCACCAGGCGCGCGACTTGGTACAATCTCCTTAAATGCTTTCATGGATCTTTCAATTACTGTATTATAATGTGTACAATGTACAAAATAATCACAATTATCTCACCAAAGCTGCTTCAGTTGCGAATGCAAATTTCGTTCCTCAACACAATTAACAATTATTAATTAATAATAATTATATATTAATTAATTATTATTAACAATTTTAACGAAAATTACTTAACCGAGTTGCAACGTTGAACGTGAAATTATGAATCAAAGTATGTTTACAAATTACGTTACGTTTACGTTATCGAGTAAGTAACCAGAAATATAGACGAAATGTCATTTAATTTGTTTGAAAACTATTCCGCCAAATCATCATTGTGACAACTGCGCTTCGATTGGCTACCTCGAATTCGAAACAAGTAACGGGTGTCGTCAATTGTTTCACTTCAAGCCAACCAGTTTAACTTGAGCTTTGCTATAATGGACGAAAATTGCAAAATTACATATTTCATATTTAATTACCTAGTAATATAAGTGATTCGGTTGTTTTGTAATTAGATGTTTTGCTGTTTTTCCCCCACCACCGAATGGAACAGTCTCCAATGTTAGAGCTAGATATTATCTTTATTACTATAATATAGATAATAATAATATTTGTTCACTTTCTGTTAATTTAATACTTCTGATGTATTTATTTGAAGCAATAAAGAATATATATAAATGCGGAATATTTTTGGAACATACGGAGACGTGTACACGGGTCTAACACCGTTTCAGTTTTCTAATTTGTGATTTCAGTGCAAACGACAGTTGATATTTAAAAGTGATATAAGGTCCATTTACCTGATAAGTTGCCAGGGATGGATTGCCTTTATTTCGTCTCTATTTCTGGTTATATACTCGATGATTTACGTCTATTCCTCCTAAAGGCAACGATTTTTTAAAATAATTTGCATATCTGTAATTTATATTTTTGTCCCTCACTGTACCTACTCTATTCAATTTATAATGCCTCTTTCTTCAGTAACGTCCCATTGAGCTCGGTACGAAGCGAAATGCAACCTTAAAGATATTTAAGGAAGTTATATTTTCCACCAATCGATACGTTTTCATCATAAATTTTTTCGTAATAGATCCATAAAGTGTTAATACTCTTTTTATTTTTCCTGTAACGTTGATGTTTTAACGAAAGAAGTTAAATAATATAACTTAATATAATATATCAATATAGGATAACCAGAGAACAAAAAAGTAAGGATAACGGATACTCTCCGCCCCTCCCTAGCTTTAGATACCGCACCACACCCCGGACATTGACGGTCACATTGCCTGAACGACAACAACGCTGTCGGCAAGCCGTTTTCGCGCTTAGACGGCTGTGATATTTGAATATAGTATTCATTTATTCATTACGAAACTTGTATGTTAACGTGTAATATCATTTTACGTTACTGTTTATAATGGTCGTGAGTTGTGCTGTTTACGACTGTTTATCGTCATCTAAACGGGATAAAGAGACAAGTTTCTTTCGTTTTCCGAAGCAAATAAAAAAGACGTCTGAGACTCATTCAGTTATTATTTTTTTCATGCATTTAGTGCAGAGTAATACTATACATAATTCAAATTTATTATATCAGTATAATGAGACGGCATAACTTCGTGAGCAAGTAGACAAGGGTTCTCGAATTTTCAATTTGTATTGCCAATAAATATTACGTAATAGATATACTTAATTATTAACAAGGTAATGATAAACTTGGACACGCAATTTCAGATACCTTGGTTACCTTATTTAAAAGCACCTGTCCAAAATATAACATTTTAAGTGCTTTTAATATATTTTTAAAATAAATCTTCAATATTATTCTAGTTAGTGAACTAATAAAAATATAATATTATATCGATATAAATACCTAATGAACATGTGTATTTATTACGCTTATATTAGTAGAATTAGACAACAGATTCGTGTTTGAATTTTTTCTATGTTGCCGCTCTGACTACGTAACGTAATAGTACGAAATAGTGATGGGTAACCCTGCCACTTCATGCACACATTTGCTCGTGTGCAGATAGCACCTTGCTGTATGTAGTAGTAGTAAGTAACTAACTTTCGAGGGTTGTATGGAGTGTCCGGGATGTGGCATAACTTTATTATAAAACAAAAAAGCGATCTCAAAAGTTTGTAGAATTACATATATATGACAAGTTTTATTGAAATCGGTTAACGGAAAGTGGGCGAAATCCAATAAACTGGATTTATCCTCTAATTTGTGATCTTACACGGGGAGTTTGTGTCGTAATAGTGTAATGGATCCATTAAAAATAGTGGAGTGCATGGAAGGTGCTTCCCCGTGTGGCGCATCGACATAATATACAATGCGCCCGGCGCAACCTGGACAACGGTCTGCGGACGGCAAGTCGGTAACGCAGACAGGCCGATCCTCCCAACACGACTCAAAGCTTCCCCAACGGCCCTTCTCAGGGCCACCAAAACAGCCTTTGTCAAGGCTCAGACCTCATGAGGGACAAAAATCTCCGCTCTCTGTCGACACGCTAAGAAGAAGATTAAATAGTATGCATTTATGAAGCATTAGAAGACGACGTTCGAAAAAGAAAAAGAAGCTAGGTACATCCACTCAATATGAAACGATTAAAGTGTGGGCAGTTTCATATACTATACATAAGTTTATGTGAACATCCAGATCAATTTGTTAAGTACTAACCACAAGCCAATAAATGTTTTTCAAGAATTATTAAGCCTAGTAAAGCCTTTTATTACTAAGTCAGATACAAATATAAGACAAGCCATCAGTCCAGAAGAAAGACTAATATTAACAATCAAGTAAGTTGTTCAATTATGTATATTTTAATCTCCGTATCGAATTTTTTCGCAAGAAACGTCTATACTCACGCGCATCTTATACTAAAGTGACCCCTTCCCTCACCCCTACCTCCACCCGCGCCTGCCCGACGCACTATGCGACCAAAAGTCAGTCATCATTACACCCATGAGTCGACAGATAACTCATTTTGCGTCGTCGTGTGAAACAAACCGTACTTTTATATGAAACCGAATGCAGCGCAAACTGCGCAACCCAAATAACGCAACTCACAAAATTACGCTCGTCTGGCCTCACACTAAAAGTGGAATACTTTCTTCAAATTTGAATGGGACCACTGTCTTTCCAACAAAATAGTCATCGAAATCGGTTTGCAAATGTCGGAGTTATCGCGTAACATATACAAGAAAAAACATATTTCATTTGAGAAACTTTAAAAAGGAATTTTTTTAACCGACTTCAAAAAAGGAGGACCTCAATTAGACTGTTTTTTTTTGTTACGCGATAACTCCGGTTTTGAACCGATTTTAAAGATATTTTTTGTTAGAAAGAGGGTACGTCAACATTGGTCCTATTTAAATTTGAAGAAATAATCCACCTGTAAGGGTAGCAAACTAGGGGATGAATCCGGTTTCGCGCACTTTCCGCTAACCGATTCCAATAAAACTAGGCAAATAAATGTAATTTCAATTTTCAATTCGGTTTTTTAGTACTCTGCAGTGAGATTGATATCGTAGCTTCAGTGCATTCACTTTACAATTGAACATGTCAACATCCTGATCACGATTGTTTAGCAGACAGTCCGATCTTTTGCTAGCTCTACAAATAAATCTATTTTGTCTATAAATTAGTCCTCACTAAGGAAACTACACCAAGACGGTGCAGTACGAAATATCATCCGATAACTTGGGGTACTCAGCATCAGCCTTTATGATGTTTAGAAGGAATAATTTCGTAATTATGACAGACAAATGGGACTCAGATCGAAGACAGATCTTTGCGATTTTAAGCTCTGAGTAGTACTGTAACTGCTATGCTGCCCTCCTGGCCGTAACTAACATATTTGTATTTCGGTAACCTTCACTCTTGGCACCAATGATATATATGTACTTTAGCGTATTCGCACCTAAAGCTTTGTTCTCATCTAAAATACTGTTAATTAATCAAATTTTGCAGGATGCAGGAGTTTACAAGCTTGACTGTGAGTGCGGTCTCTCTTATATTGGACAAACGAAGCGAAGTATTTGTGCCTGTTTCAAAAAACATATAGCTGATGACAAACACCGTCGCGTAAACAAGTCTGCAGTCTGCGAGCATGTCACGGATAAACCTACACATTCCAAGGAGTATGACAAACCGCAGGTCCTTGCAAAAGAAGTCCATTGAAGGCCATTGAATTTAAAAAAACACCCTAATTTCAACAGGCAAGATGGTTTCTCCGTACCACCAGTTTGGGATCCAGTATTTCCTCTGATGAAAAATCCCAAACAGACATAAAACTGCAGTACTAATTAATATGTTTTAATTTATTCTAATTTCTATTAATAATAAATTCAACTTAACAAAAAATCATTGAATAAAATAATTAATAAAACGTAATATAGCGTAAATTGGAATGTTTCTTTGTAAAATTGAAAATAAGGTATTTAATTAATAACTTTTGTAACTATAGTGAAAAAATAGGGTGGTTTGCATTAATATTAGACATAACTGGTTGTTGACTGTACCACCTCAGTCAACCGTGACCATGGGACCTGGAAAGGGCCCGAAATGTTGGTTGATTGTTTGAAAAATCAAACATACGCGATTTGAATCCTGAAAAATAGTTTCATTTTCTATAAATAAAACTGAAACTAAATAAGATATTAAATACCGATTGGAGGGTGTTATTGATCTCGTTTCAAAGATCCCAGATATCAATTGCGCTAAATAAATAAGGAGGGCAGCCCAATATCTTCGTACATTACTTTTGATTATAGTGACTCTCCTTACCGACCCTTAGGGTATACGAGAAGGGCAATGTAACCTGTGCGCGCACAGGAATCTTATAAGTTCAGGTTCTGACCCCAGATCAACTATTCTTATGAAAAAGTATTTGAACAAGAACTTACTTGAATACTGTGAAAGTAAGAACAAAGAAGGCAATAACGCAATAGTACCTAATCATTAGAAAGTAGTAACATTTACAATTCTGACATTTAGGCAAAATTTTACATTTTTTTGACAATCTATCGACAAAGCTGTCGACAACAACTACATGACTATATAAAATTTTATGAAAACTGGCAACCCTGCAAATGTAATTTTACTCCGTCTTCAAAAAAGCCAGACCATGGGTACGAATTTATTCAATTTGCTTCGATCGTTCACTACTGTGACATGAAATTGGGATAATGTTGTTATTTTTATCGTGAGTAACTACAGCCTCAGGCGAAACTCTTACGCCAACAGAGGCCTTAACCTTGCCGAATGCGTATCCATCCACTTCAATCTTATTTCACAAACCGCGATGCCTATGTATAATGGCTAAAAATAAGTGATTGCTACTTTCACAGTCCTCATTTTTATCTATTGTCCATTTCATATGATGTATTAGGAACCGGTTCGTTTTGCTTCAGACATATTGATAGATGGCAATGGATTTTTAATCTAATAGATAATTAAAGCTTTCTTTTATGACCTTTCGTGGAATACTACTGTTGACCACATGACTGTTTAAAAACTAAGAATAGTAAATTGACCCTCTTACCGTATCGGCTTTGTGTCGTAAGACTTCAACTTTTTTATATACATTTTATACAAGAATGCATTGACTTACAAATAAATGGACGACGGGTCTAATACAAAAACCACGAAAAAAATGTCCCAAGTAAACCTATTTAAACGTAGTGACATGTAAAGGAATATGAAAAAGCTAAAACGTTGAATTTAAATTGTAATGTCATCGCAGTACTGTCTAATTTTGCTTGCTTCGCTGTCAGTCGAACAAACGAAGACTAAAGCGTGAATGACGCTCTGTATATGATTTTAGCGCCCTATAAGTTCGGACACTTTTTAGCGCGGACCCGACGTCCATATAATTGTAAGTCAATGCATGAATGTATTGGATTGTTGATCTACAATTTTTCGGGTCATTTTAAAATTCTCCTTTCGGAAATAAACCTTTTAGAATACAGCTTTGAGCGCCGTTTGATGGTCTCTTCGTTATCAAAGCCGTGTCCGTTCAAAGAATTTTTAACCGACTTTAAAAACTTTTCTTTTGTATGTATGTTACGCAATAACTCAGGTATTTGTGAACCGATTGTGATAATTCTTTTTTGTTGGAAAGAGGGTACCTCAGTAATGGTCCTATTTAAAGTTGAAGAAAATATTCCACCTCTGAGGGTGGCAGACCAGGAGATGAATCCGGTCTCGCGCACTTTCCGGTAACCGATTTCAATAAAACTTGGTAAATAGATGTAATTCCACGAACTTATTTTATGACTATAAAATTGTACAACAATCTACCAATTAACATTAGAGACATAGTAAAAGACACTGACTTTGATAAAACATTGAAAAAGCTGTTAATTAAAAAATGCTATTACAATATAAATGAATATTTCTGTGATAAATATTTGGAGGAATAATAATAATAATACGACATTGCTGGAATTTATTTAAAATTATATTATGAAATTGCCTTTGACATTTATTTAATAATATTAAGACTATTTTTATTTTGTAAATACTTTTCATCCCATAAATATGATAATTTGTTAGTATAATTTATAAATGCCCCTCTGTAATTCGCCATGCCCTTACAGGGCGTCACATGATCCTATACAATGACATAACACCTTAAATTGTATTTAAAAATGTACTGTAACTGTGACATGCAAATAAATTATTTGATTTGATTTGATTTGAACTTTTGAGGTCGGTTTTTTAGTACTCTGTACTGAGTTTATGTATATTTGTAGATGACACATACCAACCTAACTGCAATATGTTTTGACGGTTTAGTAAAGGTGTGTGGTTTGGCATTATCATTGTGAAGTATGTTTTTCATACATTATAAACTTATAACCTTCCCGCTCATTCTTGAAATGTGCGCTAAAATATTATTGTAAATTATTATTATTTTATATTATTTTAAAATAAATATATACATAATATATGTATAACAACAAATAAATGTAAAAATAGTAATATAAAATCCATGTTAATCAATTACGTTCAAGTCTAAAATGTACTTTAATTTTAATTCTAATATCGAGTATATCGCGTATATTTGTTTTTTCAAACAAACCGACGTTTCGGGCACTTTACAGGTCCCATGGTCACGGTTGACTGAGGTGGTACAGTCTTCAACCAGTTATGTCTAATATTGATGCAAACCACCCTATTTTTTCACTATAATTACAAGCAGACAAGGAAAATATCGTCTCGAAACCTGCATGTCGAAGGTTTATTTATAATCCTTGAAAAACGAGTCAAGTTTGGTGGATTATAGCCTAAACACTCTTATAGACGTCCTAAAGAAGTCCTAACGCTAGTGATAGTGATGTCAGTTTGGTGGCTTACCATTTGAAAGGCAGCAGCGTGAGAAAGTAGCCGGGGATGACCGCGATGGGCTCGTTGGTGCGGATGGCTTTAACCACGCGGTCCGCTACTTCGTTCGAGTTGAGGTGTGGCACGAACCTATAATATCGTACATTATTTCGTTAAACTTTTTAACACATAATAAGAGATACATTCTTCTATTGACACGGTTACAAAATATAAACAATTATTGAATATAAAAGCAAAATAAATGACTCTCTTCTTCCTTCACGTGACATCTTCTAATGAAGGCGGAGATCATGATGGCAATCTGAACTTTGAACACTGCAGCTCTGAATAATGATCGGGTTCTACAATTGAACCACTGGCGCAAATTTCTGAGCCAGGATATTTTCCTTCTTCCTACACCTTTCTTTCCTTGTATTTTGCCTTGGATTATTAATTTTAATAGGTCGAACTTTGGGTTTCTCAGTATATGACCCAGATACTCCAGTTTCCTTCATATAAATGACTACGTCTTTAATTTAAAGTCAAAGAACTTCAACTTCAGTACACAAATATAGTACAGAAGCTATTAAACAGAGCATACACAACAAATGACTCCAACAAACATTTTTGAATTGATATAAAATAGTAAACGCTTTGGAGGTCAACATTTAAAAAAATATTTTATCTTTAACAAGTGACTTGGGAATGATCACACTAGATAACAACTTTAAAGTATTAACATTTCAAAAATACTTGCCTCGACTCCACCTGGCCAAACATGCCCGTCGACCGAATAAAATACGGGCAGATAAGAGAAGTATTAACACCCCTAACGCCTCGCACTTCGAGCTCGATCTTTAGCGCTTCGTCGAAGCCGCAGGCGGCTGATTTAGAAGCGCAATAATCAACCAATTTGGCCACGCCCACTTGCCCAGCCAACGACGCTATGGTCACTATGTGGCCGTCGTTATGGTCGATCATTGATGGTAGGAAGGCTTTCACAGTCTGTAGAAGTAGAAGGTTTAATATTTAGACTTTTTATGGCATTTTGTCTTAAATTTCGTTGTTTATTATGCTAGACTTCGGACGCCACCGGACAAGAACGCGAGTAGAAGGCCAGTATAATAATTTAAGTAGCGGTGCTGAAAGCACGAAGGTGGGTATGGATATCCGCTCAGAACGCTACTATAATCTTACGCCTTACGAAGGGACCACGAAGTTTGAAATCTAAAAATGCATTTAACAAAACTGTATTTTAAGATATTTTTAACAGTTTGAACGTTCATCATGTTGTTTAATTTATATACTAAAACTAATCCACTGATAAGGCACTAAAGCTTAGTTCATTTCATAAGTGCAAAAAACATGAGAACACACGGTAGAATATTACAAAAAATAATAATAATCTACACAAATACAATTAAAATACCTTTGAATTGAGAAAAATTATAGAAGTAATATTTTGCAACTTATGGTACAAAAAATATTAATATTGGTTAAACCACAACGCGGTAATAAACCTGACAAACTGCTAAGTAACATGTTTTAAATAACATGAGATTTTTTTGTTGATTTACGCAAGTGGCAAAAAAATGCTGTTTGTGTTTGTAAAATATAAGATCAACTTAATCTTTTTTTGAGTCCTTCGGTGGTTGTCTTTTTGCAACTCCTTAACACAGCTATCTTCGTATAATTTTAACTTACCCAAAAGTGCGAAAGTACATTAACGTCGAATGTTCGCTGGATGAGGTGGTCGGGCGTGTCCAGTAGGTATTGGCCAGACACCACGCCTGCGTTGTTCACTAGAATTGTCACCTGGAACGGACGATAGGTACGCCATGTTGAGGATAGTATTTTTCTTATGATACCAAGTGAGGGTACGAACAAGTCGTGCGCCTGCTGGTAAGTGACATACCTGACGTTCACGGTTGCAGTGCCACTCAGAACTTTAAATCGCAAAGATCTGAGGGGCAGTGCCACTTGGCCGTCACCCTGAGACATAAGTTGACAAGACTCATGTGCCTATAATTTCACCAGTTTCCTTACCCTTTAAAACCGGAACGCAGTAATGCTCACTTTATTGGTTAATGGCAGAAATAGATAAGGTGGCAGTTCCTGGAGGAACTCTTTCACAAGGAGATCCGCTGCTACTCTAGCATTAGGTGAATAAGCACATTAAGAATCTGTTGGAAGTCAAGAAGTGAGTGTTGGAATTCATTAGGGGATTTCGAAAGGATTTATTAACCGATCTAACCGCGTAAATACATTACGTCAAGTATGTTAGTTAACTTACCCTGCCTACTTCCTCGTTAACCTTCTTGGCGACACGATAGATGTCTTCCCGATTTGTAAGGTCCACAACGTACCCATGGCACTGGCCTCCGATCCCCTTTACCAGCTTCACTGCGTCGTCGAGTCCTGGAACAAGTCGAATAACAATTTTAATTCTCATTGTAATATTTATTTATTGAACAACATGATGTTTTAACACAAACAAAAATTCCTTAGATCTGATTGGAGTCCAACTAGTGTTGTCAATGTCTTAGTCAGTAATTAACTGAGTTGCATATCGAGTCAGTAGATACTAAGATTTCCTCTATGTATTCGATTCTTGTGCTGGGTTTAAACGGCTGTTTTACTTCCTATTCTCATACCTATTATTATTATATTATGGTATTGAAGAAGGGAAACAACCCGTCCATTAGAAACTTGAAAACACTGCATTCTTACGTTATTGATATACCACCCTTTCGCACAAAGTGTTTGCTTCGAGATTGTAGATAAGCGTTTGTTTATTTAAATTTAAAAAACGGACGGTTTTCTAAAGGTTGTGAACCTTATTCAATAAGCAGAGTTTACCACAATATCCTACAAAGTCGAAGTCAAAGTCCAAGAATCATTTATTCCATAGGTACAATAAATTTTCACCTGAAAACGCCACTCTAGGGATTGCTCTTTTCACATAAACTTACAATGTTGTGGAATACACTTTGAATCAAATTTGTGTGGAATCTAGAGCCATGTTTTAAACTTAGGAAATGATTGTAAAAACGTATACATTTCCCCGTAAAAGAGTCGTTTACCTTGGTTAAATGAAATCGTGATACCATGAGTTTGGACTTAGCTCTAAGATTAATATTATGGATGTGTTGTTTCTCATTGAAGTTATGTATAATTTTACGGGCATATAAAATATTTCAGTAAATGTATTGTGATGCCACAGACATGATACCAGTCTCCTTCACTTCACCGTTCACAAATGAGCATAACTTAGAAATTAATATCATGTATACATGCCGTCACTGGGATTCGAAGGGGTACTCGAAAGGAGCCTCCCCGTACGACGTACCTTTACGTCAGGCGTACCATGACCTACAATAGGCGAGTACCTCACGCCTATTGGCAATTTCTTTCACCACGATAGCAAGTATTATATTGTATGCCGTCGATATGATAAGAAGACATCTTTTTCTTCGTCTACCCATCGAGAAAAGCCAAAATACATACACCTCTTTTAATGTACACGTCCTTTACACCTCATCTAGTAGATAAAATATTTACTTATGCTTTCACGAAACCATCCGTTAAATTATCTTTCAAATCCGTAATGACACTTACGGCAAAACATTTATGAGCATCAAGTGCACTTGAACAATGTAACGGAATTTGGCATGTGGGTGGACGTAGCAGTCAATGTCAATCACGTCTGGTTTTACTGATTTGCAGATTTTAATACAATTTGCGTTGCAAGCTCGAGAATAGAGAGTAAAAAAGTAGTAAATAAATTAAATTATTTGTAAGTATAAATAACGTAGATGCATTTTTTTATATAACATTCAGTGCCGGGACGAATAAGTCGTGCGCCTGGTGGTAAGCTACACGTCTGTCCATAATAGTTGCAGTGTCACTCAGAGCTTTAAATCGCAAACATCTGAGAGGCACTGTCACTGCGTCCGTCAGCCTGAGTCATAAGTTGATAAGATACATGTGCCTGTAATTTCGCCAGCACCCTTACCCTTCAGAATTGGAACAGAGTAATGCTGGCAGTATTACTCTGAACGAACTCTTTCACAAGGAGCTGTACTGCTTCTAAAGGCAAGCAGCAAATGTTAAGCTGCCTGTATATGTGGATGTAATATAGTGCTCTCATTAAGTCATCATCCTTGACGACCTTGGTGACCCTATTGTTTGCACGAGATGAGAATGTCCGAGACCAATTTGTGAATAAAATTTTTGTAAATTTTGTTTGTAAATTGTAAATAGAAAAGAAGACGAGTTAACCTAGCTGCACACCCATATCACGAAGTAAAAATTTTCAGACCATAACATCTTAATATGAATTATACGTAAAGTGTAACATTTCTACAAACTATCGATTATTTACTAAAACTCTAATTACATTTATGATTGCTAAATCAAATTGAAAGATTGCTAAATTCAAGGCTTATAGAGTCAGTTTACTATCTGTAATAGCACGAACAGGGCCTCTCCGTAATAATGTGCCCCTTGTACAGAGGACACGAATAGTATAGTAATAGCGCACCCGGGGCGACAATTGGCGGATACCTTACGCCGATTGGCAAATTTTTTCACCACAATGGCAAACATGTTTCATGCACAGTCCATCATTGAAGCTACTAGAGGCATGATCAGCGTGGTTAAGTTCGTTCTGGGCCGCTATATAATAGTGTATATGTATGCCATTGATACGATAAAAAAAGAAGAATATCTAATTAAAAATCCGATTATACAGATCATGAGCCATATTCCTTAATAAGGTTTTCACCAAAAGTTTCAAGAACTGTGTTATTTAACAAGCTTATCATTAATGAATAAATAAATGGATTAGAAAGAAATTTCGCGCGTCACATCCTCCTCGCAGTCGGGCAACGCGAATGTGTGTCAATGCTGCGCGAGCAGTGTTCCGTGACGCGCAGTGATGGCGCGAGCGTGCAGGCGCGGGAAGTGTTTCCGCGTAGATTCGCTGTCGCAAGCGTAGACACCTTGCGCATTGCGTGCGCGCAAAGATCTTTATTCATCGCATGACGCAACTTCATTTCTAATCTTATTTTATTAGGCACAATTTAGATCACAATAAATCTTAACCACAGTACCTGTCTATTCTGTGCCTACGCGATTGCATAGTGAAGGTGAATTCAAGGTCAATCAATATAAATGGCTTGGCACAGACCTTACGACTTAAAGCGGAGATGAAGCTCGATCTATATGTTCGTCTTTCAGTCCCTGATATAATATATGATATATGTATAGTTATTAGGACAAAAATTAGATAATTAATTATATTTGTGCATGATCGACAACTGTCACTACGGATTTTTTTTAATCCCTTTAGTTTTAGAGTTATTCCGCTAAAACGAATTTGGTACTTTTAATGCGCAAAATTCAACATCTCCTGTCGCATGTCATGCGAACCTCAGGCATATATTTGTTTCACAAATTTGGGCGGAGCCAACGTCAAAACTTTTTTGGCATGAGAGCTCTTAAGAGTCGACACAACCTCAAATGGCTTTGGTTGATTCCGCATAATAGTGAAACTGTTGAATCAATCACTTTGAAAAAAATATACAACTACAACTGCCTCCGTGGCCGAACGGTTACCATGCCGGACGGTCCCAGAGTCGATTCCCGGGCCGGAAGAAATATTTGTAATGCCTACATTTATTTTTGTCGTGAGTTTGGGTGTAATTTGTGGTTATGAATGTGTGTGTCCATGGCACCCACGATACAGGGTTTCCCTAGTGCGGCGCTATGAGTATGTGAGTTATTTATTTATTTCTTTTATGTAAAAATTTAAATAAGCCAGAGCTGACTCAGATTTACCAATTGTTCCTAAATAGATATAAATTGAGGAATATCAATTCTATGAAGAAAAAAACAACTCATTTATACACTGAAAAAAAAACTGACTATTATGAATTGTAGCTGCAATCAAGCTTAATAGGTTCAGATGTTTTGGTCCTTATTGACAAGAGATTAAACTTTGCCTACCCTTACGTGAGACAAGCGTAATAGATATAAGTTCTTTTTATGACACAAAGTGACGACGGGACGAACAAGTAGTGCGCCTGGTGGTAAGCGACACGCAAAGGTCTGAAAGGCCCTGCCACTGCACCCGTCACTCTGTTATGCTATTGTTACTAAAAATAAATAGTACTTATATCAATTATAACGCAAACTCTAAAATATTATCTATTTTTTTGCCTAATTTTATTCATCGAAGATATAATGTTAAAAACTATCTACGAAATCCGATGGATAGTAACTGGTATTTTTAACCGACAAAAAAGGAGGTTTTCAATTCGACCGTACTTTTTGTGTGTATGTTACGCGTTTACTTCGGCATTTGTCGGTCATAATCGGTCCCATTTCAATTTGAAGGAAATATTCCACCTCTAAAGGTAGCCAACTGCATGGGGGATGAATCCGGTTTCGCGCTTTCCTTTGAAGTCGGTTTTTTTTATAAAAAAGTTATAATATTATTTTCTGTTAACAATTTCATTTTAGATGATTAATAAAGTTTAATCATCTTCATTTCAGCCGAACAACGTCCAAAGAACGCCACAACAACGACCGATCTTGGTTCCCGCAACCTCCAACGGGAAAGTTCCCGCAAGATTGCCTGGGGCGGCACCTGTGTGCAGACTTGAAGAGTGACCATCCATTGTTTACATCATAACAACGTTCATGCTCTCGAACTTGAAATCGCGTGCGCCAGATTCGATTCATCGCACACGACACAAGTCGAATCTACTCGATTGCTCAAACGCAACAATCCGGCCCACCTTGACACTTTGCTATAATTTGGTTCTCGGTGAATTTTGTAAGTTATGTTTTATGTATTTGTAGACCCACTGCCCTTGACGTTAGGTGTTTAATGCTAGTTGGATTTGGTGGAGTGCCTATGTATGTGTAACAATAATCATATTCAGACTAATTACACATTTTGAAATGGTTTCGTAATATTTTACAACACACGAACGATTTTAGGCTCTGGCAAAATGTTCTACGTTGCATCTTGGAGATTATTATGCTTGCACGACAGAAATCGGATACCATCATCTATTGTCATCGTAACTATAAGCCTCGTCATATTTAACTCTTTGTTATTATATTATGTAGTCAACAATCGTTTATTCTATTAGTTCTGTGATAATCCTGATCCATCGTCATCCCACCTTCTTCTCTTGTTCCTGGCCACTTATTTTTAAATTTTGAATCGTTCTCGAATTTCCTTTTCCTTCATTATTCTTATGTTTGTTCGATCCGTGCTCACTTCCACAACAATTTTTGAAACGAGAAGATGCGTCATCATTTAATTTATTTTTCAATTCAATTACTATTAAAATTGTTTTGGTTATAATAGGCCCTTTTGGGTTTCTCTTTTATCATCCTATAAT